GCCGTTCCCTCGGGCCCTGTCGCTGTCACGCAGAGCAGAGCTCAGTGCTGCCCTCTGCTCCCTGTGAGGAGCTGCAGCCACCATGAGGCTCCCCTCAGTTCCTCTGCACCTAAACCTGCCCAAAACTCAGTGCTGGAGGCAAGGCCCCACAGCACAAAGCAGAGGGGACCCTTCCCTCACCCACTGTCAGTGCTGGACCAGTCTGATGTAATCCCATTAGTGTAACCCTTTGAACCTGACCCATCGGCCAAGTGTTCACCCATTCCATTGGGTTTTTTGTCAAGCTGCATGCTGGGAATTTTGCCCAGAAGAATGCCATGAAAAACTGTATGGAAAGCTTTGCTGAAAGCTTTGCCAGAAAGTGCAGACCTACTTGCTTCTCTTGGTCAGCTAAGTGTGTAACCTTGTCATAAAAGGAGATTAAGTTCCTTAAACAGGACTTTCCTCTCCTGAACTCATGTTGGCTGTGACCAGTGACTGCTTTGTCTTCCAGGTGTTTTTCAGTAATTCCCAAAACAATCTCTGTAATTACACAAGGCACTGAAGGTAGACTGACAGGCCTGAAATATTTTCAAATACATTGATGTGCTCAGATAATCTCTGTAACAGCTCCCAAACAAATAACCACATAAGATATGGCCAGATCTGCTAGTCCTGTTCATTTTGATGGGATCAGAACCAAGCTTATATCTCCTACGGCACAGCAGTGTTGATCCTGATAATCTGCACAGGGGTGAACTCGTAACAGCACTGCATGTGCATTGCCTAGATACCTGTAAGAAAAATAAAATCCCCAGGGAGTTTGCACAGTACTGAACCCAATATGTGCCTTCACAGCTGCTCTGCAATTGCAGAACTATGTATTCTTAAACCTCAGGGGTCAGTTGTCAGTGTTGATATCAGACTTCATCTTGAAAATTCTAGATGAGGCTGTGAACACGGAAAGTTGTAAGATTACAACAAGACTAGGCACAGCTTACACGTTAGTCATCACCTCCTGCAGCTCCGCAAGGCCTTGCTATAACTCTGCCATTGCTTCCTCTGTCCTTTCTCTCTGGTCGTGGTTCCTCTTGCCTCACTCCTTTCCACATGCAGAGTGATACACTGTTTTTGTACCTTGTCGATCTCCATAGATCTAAAAACCAAAATCCTCCAAAGTAAAAAGCTTAGAGTTTTTACCATATTAATGCTAACAGAAGGAGCCTCTGAGGGACAAAAAGGCATGCACGTTTTCACAGAGGATGTCTAGACACAAGCCTGAGTTTTTCTGTTGTGCTGACTGAGCTTTTCAAGTCCACACCTTTAACAAGATAAGCTATTTGCGTTGATGGAACTCAAGAGCTTTTCTTAGGTTTGTGGATAACCTGACAACAGCGCCAATCCCTGACCTCTGGTTCTGAACTAAATCACTCTCTGCGACTTGCCATGAAGAAAAGTTGTCTCTTCAGAGTCTGGTCCTCACCAACTCAAAAATACTCTTGAAAAAACTTGATGGCAATGGTGTCTAGTGAACAAAAGCGCAAGATAATACAAATGATAAGATGTATACAAAGAAGAAAGGTCAAGATTTCCATCACAGCATGCAGAGCAGACTGAGCAGACACAGCATGGCACGGTGCAGGCAGAGAGAAGTGAAGTGATACTAAGTCACAACTCATACAATTCACTGCCAGTTCAATGCTATTTCAAAAGGCACTCACTGAGTACACTGAATACACTAGATAGGTGTATTATCAAACACTGAGAATTAAACAACAGAATCAATATTGCTCTGGGACCACAGAAAAATCTGACAATGAACACTGACAAGGTAGAAGATCACTCTGCTACTCCTATCTCTTTCCCAGTCAACAGAGGTAATGTCAACCCCTGGAATGTAATAAATGAGATGAACTTCATTACTATCTTTTCTAACATCTTCATGCATAGTTCACTTGCTGCATTGTCCTGAACTCACATATACATAAAATGGTAAACAAAAAAGATTTAAAGAAATGTGATAGTGCAGCAACAAAGAGGGATAATGGGTGACAGTCCAGAGAGGATGTGACAGGAGAAGTCTTTACCAACAGTTGGAGCCATTCCTACTGCAGTGATGGTAGACACTAGTCTTGATAGGCCAAAACATGTCCTGCAACTAACTTGAAACAGCAACTATAGATTAAATGTAAGAGACAACTAATGAAATACAGCAGTCATCCTAAACTTAGTTGTTGCAAACATCCTGATGTGCTAATAAAATGAGTAATTGCTTGCTCCAGGATTTTCAAATTAGTACTTCCAAGAGATAATTCTGTAGTGAATTGACAGTTGATAATTCCCAAGTGAAATGACGTTTCATTAGAATGAAAAAATGAAACCTAAATACATATCCCACCACTGTAGCTGTATATAACATTTTAAAAAATTATTATTATTTTAGGAAGGACAGAAAAACGTGATAAACATGCAAAGGAAGAGATGAGAGTTAACTCTTTCCTTCACCTTTCTCCTCACAGGAAACAGTCTTTTGCTTGTCACTAACAGCTGCATATATCTAGGACTTCTGTTCCAGCGTGATGATGGAAAAGGATGGAGCCATGCCCTTTGCCCATCTTTTGTCCCCCAAAAGTACCAAGGACCCCAGTCAGCTTCAGGAACATACAGGCTCTTTGCAGCATTTCAGTATGCACTGTGGGAAGCTTACAGTCTCCCTGCACCCACAGAAGCATGATGAGCTGTCAGTAAAGGGACTAGACCAAAAGCACTGGTCCATGCCTCAGCTCTGGGCTCTGACAATGATATGTCAAGGCATGCAGGCTTCTGAGCAACTTCCCTTTCTAACCTGCTTTAAAGATGTAAAAAATGTGACCACTATGTGGTTGTATTGTCTCATAGAATAAACTCTCTATCTGGAAAGAAGAAATAGGTAGAATTTCTCTGAAAGATCATTATCAAAAATATTTCAGAGAAGTCTGAGTATCTAAAATACACCAAGAAAAAAATGTATTGCAGAAATGATTTATTTCATGCCAACTTAAGTCATTGACTAGATATTTTAACATACATTTCAAAAATATATCCAGTACATCAATAATTTAAATACTACACAGGAAAATTTATAACTCAGTGAATTTTAAAACAATGTTTTATGCACACGTACTTGTATCATAAGGCAAAAGAAGCTAGTCTATCCATGAGCAGCACTCCTACAGCCTACTCTTGATATACACTGGAGAATAAACATCTTCTGTTACTACAGCCATATTCGAAAATGATTTCCCTTGTCTTCCAGACACTTCCATAGAAATTTAAAGTGATCTCTTAAAGAAAATAATTCCTACAGTGACAGTTAAGATATCACAGTTGAACTCCTAAAATTCACAGAAATGTCAAATATAACAACACTATCCTGAAGAAATAATTGAAGTCGCACATTATTATTGCCTCTCAATTACATCTAAAACACACGCACACAAAATTAAGCATGCTGAGGAATACATTCCAGTGCATTTTAATGGAGACAAAGAACATATGTGATTGGCATTACCACACAACTGAAACAGAAGATACCAAATGTAATGTAATATAATCAGTGACAGCAATCTATATACTAGAAAGGGATCTAGTTCAAGGTGCTATTCTGCAAGGGATGCTGTGTTTCTGTCAACATAATCAAATGGTGTAGGAGTGTCTCAGCTTCAGATTAGACTACTTAATTAGAGGCACAGATAATATCAAAAGAACTGCTGTGAAACAGCATATTCCTGCAGAGTTTATTAGGGAAAAGGAAAAATTTCAAAACATTTACAAGATACACCAGTAAGTTGCTCTGTAAAAAAATCGATCATTTTCCGAATGCTAAAACAAAAATAAAAAGCTAGGAGACAATATACGCAATGAGTGGCATTTCTTTTAATTATACATATGGAAACAATTCTGTTATGAATAGGCAGATTTCCTTAAGAAGCCTCACAGAAAGTTTCCATTCACAAAATGATCTCTATTTAGTACTGTAAATCCCCTCAAACTGCAAGTAATTAGCAGCAGTAATGAAATTTGGAAGAAATAATGTATTTTTCATTAAACATTGACAATATTCTGAGATAAATTTAGTAAAGTGAGAATTATCATCATTACTGAAAATCAGAGTAACCATTGGTAATATTTCACATCTAAAAATCACCACGATTGTTTTAAAATAGTAAGAATAAATATTGAACAGATAGCAGCTTTCCACCATTCCCTTTAATACTGCTAATGACGATTTATTTTACAAGTGCTAGATTGCAGAAGACAGAAAGCAGAAGAAGACAGAAAGCAGAGACATATTGCATACTGTGATTTTTCCAGTAGTGTAAGTTACAGTAGTTTAAAGTTTGTTGCCGTACTCATATGATAGAATATACCATAGTATGCCCAAATTGTCACTTGCTAACACAGACTAGAAGCTCAGGTTTTTTTGTATTCCCTCATAAAAAAATTCCTTACTTTACATCACTAAGTGCTGTGCCTTAACATGCAGAGAGGGCTCATTTCCCAGTACGTGTAAGTTAGCAGAACATGTACATGCTTAAATGCCTGAAAATACAGAACTACAGTTCTAGCAGGAACAGTAAGACTAGACTAGAGCTTTTTGCTATCTGTACTGTCTAAGAAATCCAGCACTGACAGAGTGTTAAAATAGTTACGGTTTCCACTCCCGCTTTGTAAAGTTTGTGACAATTTACTTTTCACTGGTTTACAATCTTGGGTGGTTGCTTGGTGCAATTTCTATGTGTAAGTGGTGCTCACAGCATAAGAAGTACACTTTGGCTGCTTGGTAATTCAAAAAGTGGAATTGTAAATAAAGATATAATTGACATTCTTTAGTTGCAAATAAACATGACTATACACCAACAGAATTAATAAACATTCTGTTTCCGAAAGCAAACTTTGCAAGCTCATTTTACTTCAAATTATCAAATCTGGAGCATCAAATGTGCTGCAAGAAAAACATCAACATACGTTACAATCACAGCTTAAACATGCCAAAGCTGGTTTTAGTTTATTTACTCATATTTCTTTTAATATAGGCTATTTTTAGAGTATAATTACAGTAGCAAAGAACTCAGTACAGATGCCACAGTCAGGCACTTACTTAACCACCGGGCAAGTTCTGCATTATTTTTATAAGCAGTAACTGAAGTAGTCTGCAGTGAGCTCAAGTACACAGCAAATGTTGTGCAGGTACATAGCTTGGTTCTGTCATGTTCTTTTATTGTAACCAGTCATCTTTAGTTAAAAGCTTTTCATATTTAGTCATAGGAACTTACAATTACTTTTTGAAACACTAATTAGCTACAAATTGCACTTAGAGCAAGAGTAATAACTGTTAGTCAGTAATGAATACATGGATGAAACATCACATGGATGACATCACTTATCATCTCCTTATTTAAACCTTTAGTATCCAGCTGGTATGTGACACTGGGGATCTCTAAGCACTATCCAGAGAGAGCTGTTGAGCTATTTTAAAGCCCTCATGTCTGTGGTTTCAAAAAGCAGCCATTAGTTACTCTACTACTCCACTGCAACATATGACAAAAGGTCAGAAGATTCCCATCTAAATGACCTCATAATTTCAATACTAGCAGATGGATTCCCACAGCAATTAATTTACAGTAAAATCCTCATATTACTGTATCCTGAGGAAAACACACAGATGTCTTATGTCACGAGCTAGTTAGCTTTTGTACATAAAACCCTCAACAAGTTTCAATTGTAAATTCGCTAGCAACCATTCCACCGATGTCTGAACGACTGAAGGAAGTGGAGCTGTTTAATCTGGGGAAAAGGAAGCTGAGGGGAGACCTTATTGCTCTCTTCAAATATCTGAAAGGTGCTGACAGCGAGAGCATGGCTGGTCTCTTCTCACTGGTGACAGGATGAGGGGCAATGGCCTCAAGTTGCACCAAGGGAGGTTGAGGTTGGATATCAGGAAAAACTTCTTTACAGAAAGGGTTAAGCACTGGAATAGGCTCCCCAGAGAGGTGGTTGAGTCACCATCCCTGGATGTGTTTAAAAACCATTTGGATGTGGTGCTCAGGGACATGATTTAGTGGTGGGTTGTTAGTGTTAGGGCAGCATGGTTAGGTTGTGGTTGGACTTGATGATCTTTTAAGGTCTTTTCCAACCTGAGCAATTCTATGAGTCTATGTGTCTATGAATGCAGAAAAATCATGCCCTGAGAAGGCTGATTCAATACTCTGAAGTCAACAGCAGCTAGATAGGAGTACTTCACAAGAGCTCTGAAAAATAAACATTCCTTTCATGGTTTTTCCATTAGCACTGAATTAGATCCCTTTGTAGTGACATTTCAAGAATTAAATAAAGAACTTACACCTTATTTCATCCATGTATTTTTACAAATACAAATTACAAATAAACTTTTGGGCAATTAAATGACATATAAGCTATAAAAATAGAAATATAAAGTCTAGAAATGTTAATTGTTGATGGATGTCCAAAAAACATATACAACCTTTTTCAGATCAAGTTGGACTAATAATAGCATTTCTAAGATTATCTAATAAAAATTAAATATGTAACATCACAAAGTTGCTATAGAACAGTCTGCATCCAGAAACAAGTATCCTATTTTCTTGACTTTCATTCCCTGATACAGCCATGCTGTATCATGCTGATCACGCTTTTATAAGACATAAAATACTCAAACTAAAATGTGTCCTCTTACATGCAACATAGAAATTACATGAGCTTGGGTACATTTGAGCATGGCTGTAATTCAGTGTATTCACCTCAGAAGTGAGGGTTACTTTATGTCTGCCCTTTTATTTACATAATCATTTCTACACAAGCATTTTTCCTCCTTCATAACAGAAATATAGTATTTTAAAACAGGCAGGTCAAATTAATAATATAAGATCAATATATTATAAATACCACTACTGTTAGAACATACAATGTACTAAATTGCAGGAGGTAGAGTTAGATCCCCATTAACAGTTACTTCAGAAAAGACTACTTCTAAAAATTAGTAGAACATATAGTTCATGAAAGTTTACTTTTCAGACTATCTCAGTCTCAGGTGCTTTAATGGATGCTTATCTTTTTAAGCATGATAAAGAATTAATGACGGAAGCATGTTCTCTTTCCATTTTCATCATCATTTAGAAATAAGTAAAAAGAAAACTCCCAAGTGCAAGAATATATGACAAATTCCCATAAAGCAGCATTTTAAGTTAATCGTATTTCCCAAGATATCATGAGTATGATCACATCTTTTACCTTATTATTACACTTGAAAGTTCATTTGACAAACTACAGTTAAAATGCATCTACACCAATTAAATTAAATAGAAGCATTTCTACATAGTTAATAATTGGCATTTTTGAATGGCATTTAAATGAATATGCATTTAATCTTTTTGCAACAATTTACTGCAAAATACAGGCACCTTAAGAACTGATACATAATGCAAACAGGACATGTGGGATATTAAAAGTGTTCAGCATTATCTAGTTGTGCTATGTATTTCCCTTCTTCTAAAGAAACACTCAAAAATTTTAAGCTGTGTCTGAAATCTATGCAAATAATTTTTTTCCAAATTTAACTCATTATTCACATTAGATTTCTTTTATGCTTTAAAAAAAAAAAGAACCCAAATTCTGCCAATATTTTTCAACAGTTAGAACTGTAAAAATCTTAAGCAAACATCATGCCTTTGATAACATTTCCTTGCTATTGCACATACACTCATACGACAGTGAAACCTTCATCCATTTTCATCTAGTCACACACACAATCTAGAATTGCTTGGGTTGGACCGTAAGGACAATCCAACACACTGCCCAGGCACAGCTGCAACTCACTTGCCCAGGGCCCCATCCAGCCTGGCCTTGAACACTGGAAAAGAAAATATTACCTTTCTTGACAAATACATATTCTGAATTTCATTAGTTCTAAAACTAATGCCAGCAAGATTTGTGAAAACAGACTGCCATTCAGTCCTTCTGCTTATTTAGGGTCTGATCTAAAGACTACTGAAGCCAAAAGAAGACTAATTTAAATATGTAAATTTTGGACTAGTCATAAATGTTCAGACAGAAAATTTAGTAAGTGTCCACTATTGTAATCAATATAACTGCACTTTGGATGCATCAAGATTTTCTCATAGCATCTTTTTCTATACAAATAAAACCCTTCCAGAAAATGTTCATTCTGAAGCTTAATATTGTAATTCAAGTTGAGCCTTTTTTATGAAATTAATCTCTAGTAATTTAATTACTAGTTCTCTCCTTTTGTTCATTATAAAAACTCATATGGATGCACAATAACATCTAAAATAGAAGAAGAATATTCTTGTTGTAACTGGTAGAGTTATCATACAGATACATTTCTAAAATATAACTGTTTCTTCATTTTTTTAATAAAACAAAAATGATCTTTTCTGGTTCAGCAATAGCCATAAATACAATGTTTTCCAAGCAGCGAATAGGAAATAGATTGCCAATGATTTTTCTTTAGATTTAGATTAGACATCCTCAAATATTCTGCTTCGAGACATTGACAGATATCTTCCACCAGGCTGGTACCTGCAGAATGAATTTTAAATATGAAAAGATATCACAGCAAAAAGAAGAAAGACCTATGAATGAAGACTTCAGATATCACATCTGCTCCAGAACAATTATATATGCCTACTTCCATTTTTGTAGACTGTTACTTATTTCAAACACTGTATCGAAGTAGAAAACAGAATTACACTAGGCTGCTTCCTATTTAAACTTTGTGCTAAAAAGAAACCCAAAAAGAACTCCAGAAGCCAAAACTTTTCCAAATGTGGTGACATTAGATTAGACAATTTAGTTGTCAGTATTAACAAGTATTGCTGAATTAACCTGTCGAACCTGCCATCATCATTTAAAAACATTCTTTATATGTTTATGAACTGGCATTTATTTGCTGAAGTTACAGACAGAAGTCAACACAAACAATTTCAGATGGATTTGATATGCTAATTTAAACTGAAAAACATACAAATTATAACTTTTTGTAGAAAAATTTTAAACAATTTGTCATAGCAAGGTTCTAATACATAGCTGTCTAGATTAAAAAAGCAAAATTAAACATTTTACTTCTTTCCTGAATGCAAGCAGAACTTAGCAGCTAATATTATATCCTATTTCATGATGGATATTGGAAACACACACAATTCCCTATTATTCACATAGCTACACTGCTCAGCCTAAGACTTTGCCCAATAGGTTCAGATTTGAATTTACTTTACTAGTCTCAAGATCTGATGCACAGGTGCACTCCTGCAACTACTGATCCTATAATACTCCGTTTCATTTCCTTCAATCTTTACAGATTTTCTTTTATACAAGGTATAATAAGCTCTCTGAAGTCTTTTAGGAAATTGAGAAAAATAAAATACCTATACTGAGCATATGTAAGTCATTGCTCTGTACTTTCACTACTGTGTTTATATGCATAGTTTCCAGATTATGCTAACACATAAATTTATGGTCATCTCAAACCTTACTCAGACATTTCTATAAAAACTGATAAAATCCAGTGGTTTCAATTGGGTTGAAAACACTTTTGATATCATCAGAGAGAAGGAAGAAAAAAAAATAGTGATGTGAGAAGCAAATACTGTTTATAAAGGTATTATACAAAATCATCTGACGTAGCTGTTACAGGACAGGAGATAAAAGCTATTAAAATTTTTAAATTGTAAGTAAAACAGAGGATTCCTCACCTTCCAGAGTCCGATTCAAGAGGGTCATCATTAACTGAGTCTGCATTAAAATCCAAAGGTTCTGCATCCTGAAGAAGTTCTATTCTATCTCTTTCAGTCCTACCATTTGTTCGAGTGTACTTTGACAGTGCTGAATAGGTAAAAAGCAGGAAAAAGATCCATTTAATTCTATAAACACATCCCACTGTGTGAAAATATCAAACTTAAAAGACCAGTATAATAATTTGCTAGTAACTCATCTAAAGCATAATCATGAATATTTAGAGTAAATTCAGTATTAAATAAAATCTGACTGTATGCTCAAAGTTTTTAGAGTTTTTGTTCTTATTTATCTGCAGAACGACATAACTGCAACAAGCAGATGAGATCTATTTTGCAAAGTCACAGAAAATTAAAAGTTCTACAGAAACATTATTTACAAATAAATAAATTCTTGCCATTCTTGACATTTTTAACCAAGACAGACAAAAACGCTACGTGCAAAATTTAGCTGGAATTTTTTAAGATCTTCTGTTTGTTTTGAAATGGAAAAACTCATGAATGAATGAAATACAGCTGTTTGGCAATTCACTGCCAGCTTCAGGCCAGTGTCTACAGCTTGTTTTGGGCCTAGTTAATAGCAGAATATAATTGAATACAATTTCAGTTAGTCTTTATCTGAATACTTTGGTTTCCTACTGGTTTCCACTCTTAAAAAAGAGTGGCAGTAAGACCTACTTTATTTTTTATTGAAAGCACTTGTCTTGAATCTTCTCCTTTTTATTTTCTAAACTTTAATCACTTTTCCATCACTTCATTCAACCTGTCACATTTAGCTGTTTAGTTTCATTTCTCACCTGTTGTTAGCTTACAAGAGTACATGAAATAGACACTGAAAGTTAGCAAAAGGACAAAAAAAAATCAGTGGACAATAAGAGGTTTGTTTACTTTTAAACATTTTCAACTCAACATTCTTCTACAAGCAAATACTGCTGTACATGTAACAATCTAAATTGGCTAGTTTAATGTGCTATTAAATGACATGCATGCACTCATGTATATCCTGGCTTTATATTTGTAAGTCATTACTCCAACCCAAATCAGTTCATTTGCATGTAAAAGAGGTACATTCCAATATTTAAAATTTCCAACTGCAAGGTATACCTCAAATATAGTTTTGTGGGGTTTTTTTTGTTAACAACTGCTACTCTAGTTGTATGTCCCATGAGAAAATCAAGTAATTTAGACCAGCCAGAATCTCCAGCCTCAACAAGTCACAGAATCACAGAATCACAGAATTGTAGGGATTGGAAGGGAGCTCCAGAGATCATCGAGTCCAACCCCCCTGCCAAAGCAGGTTCCCTACAGCACAGGTCGGCATCCAGGCAGGTCTGGAACATCTCCAGAGAAGGAGACTCCACCACCTCCCTGGGCAGCCTGTTCCAGTGCTCCGTCACCTCACTGCAAAGAAGTTCCTGCGCACATTTGTGCAGAACTTCCTATGCTGCAGTTTCTGGCCTTTTCCCCTTGTCCTGTCTCCACTCACCACTGAAAACAGTCCGGCCTCGCCATTCTGCCCCCACACCTCAGATATTTATAGACCTGGATCAGGTCCCCTCTCAGTCTCCTTTTCTCAAGGCTGAACAGACCCAGTTCACTCAGCCTTTCCTCATAGCAGAGATGCTCCAGGCCCTTCACCATCTTTGTGGCCCTCCGCTGGACTCTTTCCAAGAGATCCTTGTCTTTTTTGTACTGGGGAGCCCAGAACTGGATGCAGTACTCCAGATGAGGCCTTACCAGGGCAGAGTAGAGGGGGAGGATCACCTCCCTCGACCTGCTGGACACGCTCTTTTTAATGCATCCCAGGATGCCGTTGGCCCTCTTGGCCACAAGGGCACACTGCTGGCTCATGGCCAACCTGTTGTCCACCAGGACACCCAGGTTCCTCTCCACAGAGCTCCCCTCCAGCAGTTCATCCCCTAACCTGTACTGGTGCATGGAATTATTCCTCCCCAGATGCAAGACTCTACACTTGCTTTTGTTGAACCTCATCTGGTTTTTTATTTATTTATTTATTTATTTATTTATTTATTTATTTATTTATTTTTACATTTTACATTTTTAAGTCAAAATGTAAAAGATGAGAAGAAACACGGCACTTGTCTTGAATGGTCAAGATAGCACTATTTCCTTCCTAAAGAAGGAAATGTATCAATATATGATCTGAGACAAAAAGGAAACTATTTACTTTTACTTACAGTCAGTAGTGCACAGACAGGATATTAAAAACCTAAAAGCAAGCAAACAAAAAATTTCCACACAGCACAAAAAAGCCCCACACAACTTACGTCTATTAGTATTGGCCTCTGAGAAGCTGGATTCTTTTTGCTCTGTGTGGACAACCCTATTTCTAGTGGAATCCTCTCTATTTCCATACCGTTCTTTCCATTCCTGGAAAAAGACAAAAAAAGAAAAACATGAACTGTCAGAAAAGTAACACAACTAAAGCACACACAGGATCAACAGATACTGCAGTCTAGAACTAACTGATCAACCTTGCCACACAGTGAAAGAAAATACTTTGAAAATGTTACTGCTTGATATCTTGATACAAGAAGAGTTCTTGTTTTGTTTTTAGCTCAGTGTTTATGTACCTTTACAAAACCAATTTCAGTAACTGCTCTTTAGAAGAAAAATACTCAGAGGAAACAAACTGCATATTAAATCTACAAAGTTCTTCAACTGTTACAATGCAAAGGCAGATGCTCGTTGTTTGGTTTATATTTCCATCTAGTGGCAGAATGGTAGAATACCCAGACAAAAAAAAAAAAAACAGTTATTGTTATACTTCTATCACATAATCTTTTAGCATTTAATAATTTTAATATGAAGAATTATGAAGTATTAAAGAAGAAAACCTGCTCTTCTTAGGAGACAAGTTCATGACACAGTAGAAACCTTTCCTATTGCATCTGTAACTTCCATATTGATCAGATTCTTATATGGACCCTTGATAAACTCAAAAGTTACTATGCTAATTTATGCCAACAGATCTTACAGTTCAAGCTGTAGAGAAAGTATTTATCATGATGTAACAAAAGAATACTCTTATATCCTCTAGAAGTTTCAAGAATATATGTGCTACAGTGTAAAATGCAAACTCAAAAAACAGGTTTTTTCATATTCATATTTTTTTCTATTTCAAAAATAGAAAATGAGTTTTCTATTGAAAATAAAATTGCTGATTTATGTCAGTTCATTTCAGTGTGTAACAAAGGTAATGCACTGACTGGTACTTGGTTTTGTATTAAGGGAAAGCCTTAAATCTATGGGATGGAAGGTGCAGAGCAGAACATCAGAAGAAAGGTTTTTGCAGTACTAGCTGTTAACAAGAATTGAAGGCAAGTATCCCTGAGCTTGAAGAATCCAGAGGTTTTAGACCCTGTATTATCCTAGCTTTCTGCAAATAATACTTTTCCTTTTGGCAGTTTATTTTTCACATGTACTCCTTAGATATCCTTTCTTTCTATACTGAATTTGAAGTCAAAAACAAAAGCTACAATTAACTGAACTTGCTGAAGCGAAACTCTCTGAATTATGTTTCAAAAATTATTTGAAACAAAGATTCTGTTTATTACTCAGTGGCAACAGTACTCATTCCTTCCTGCTTATTTTCTTTGAAGAAGGGAACTACATTAAATGTTTTCCCTGCTCAGAAGGAAAAAATTAATCTTTGCCAATTACTAGCAATGACTACGCAAAACAGCAGGCTAAGTCTGGGAAGAGCACTCAGTCCCCATTCCAAGAGAACAACCCAACACTGCAAGTCTGTTATTTCAAGCAAATCAGCATCAACAGAAGAGACTGAGAACAAACTCTTCCAGATTATTCTGAATCTTGTAGGTCAGGACTGGTTATCTTGACCTATGTTTATAGCCATAATTGATTCTAAGAATAGAGTGAGTAACAAGAGAGTACAAGTAGTATCACCACAATAACCCTCTTATCTTTTAAAAAGAAAATATAAATTATCTTTTTTCCTCAGCCAGGCAAGACAAAACTGTTTCCATCTGTGATTGTAGGACTTTTTTCTTGTAAAAAGTTAGGTTGAATTAAATAACAATGGCCATCCCCAGTAGATTTTTTATTATATTAACATTGTGATTACATAAAATAAATCTTTTACCCTTCTTCTGTTTTCACCTTCTTCCTGCCTTTGCCGTTTTCTTTTCTCTAGAAATAAAAAATAAAGTCTGTAGCTAAATACAAGAACAATCACTTCTAACAGGTTTTTCTTAAACAAATGCAACGAAAAAAATAACATTAACTACTGAGATTCTTACTGAAATAGTTGGTTAATACAATTAATTAAAGACACACGAAGTTCATTGTAATGGAATTTCTCATTAAAATTAATTTATCATGTTGACAATGGCTGTCATCAGTGCTGAAATGCACCACTTACATGCTCACATCTACTCCTTTGATCTCCTTAAACATTCAGCACGCATCAATGAATGCCAATGGGTGCCATTTTTTCACATGGAGGAATTCAATAACACACCTTTGCTTCATCTGCATTTCCATGTCACATGCCATTTTGTCAGACTGCCCCTCTGCTGCCATCTCTCACACGGCAACAACATTTAACAGAAATATTGTCAGGAAGGCTCAACCTCGACTGCCATGAAACCAACATCCACCTCTGACATTATAGATCAACACAATAAAATAGGAGGCATTACTTTCAGATCTCAGCCCCCCTAAGATATTATTGATATTAATACTGGTACTACTATAGATATTATTACTAAGATAGTAATGGCTTCAGAGTACCAGCACTTAACTAAATTGTAAAATTACCCACAGTGAATGAGTAAAGTTGGTATTTTATTGCAGATGTCAACAAAGTCCAACAATACTTACACAGCAACCTGTATTGTTAATCTGTTGTGTTTTGTGCAGTAGATTGCCACCTACAGTTCAAAAATTGAAAAGCTATGTCTTTTCATTTTTTTCACAGACATGGAAGAATTACTGTATTTTGTAGGATGATTAGGATATGGGATCTGAATTACCTCTTCGGATTAACTCTTTTCCTTCATCAATCAAATCAGAAGTCATTTCACTGTCCCCCATGAACTGCTGGAAACCCAAAAGATTCAAGCAACGAGTTCCTAAACTGGTAAAAGCAGAAAGATAAGGAATTTCCCATATTAGTTTACAATGGGTAAATGGATACATTATATTGCAAAATGTAAAATAGACATTTCAGAAACACAGTAATTTAGGAACAATTAAAAAAACAAAAAACAAAACATGAAAAACGGAAAACAAATAATACTACCTGAGAAATCAGAAAATTCAAACCAGTGACACGGTTCCTGAATGTAATTGAAAGGATGGAAAGGAAGGAAGTTCAAGTAGTAGGATAAAAATGCTTATAGTCTGAGAGTAGTACAAATTTAAAATAATTATTTGATATCTTCTCAAATAGAATAGTAATTATGCCTATGTCTCCTCTTGACTCTCCTCTGCCAGAAGAAAATTACTGAAGATTACATGCAACAAGATTTCTGTTTTTGGAACAACAATAACAGGAAAGCTGCTTTCATCTCAGTTATTACTCAGAAGAAACACCTGGCTTTTATTTATTTATTTATTTATTTATTTATTTTTCCAGCTGTAGGAACACTTCCCATTTTGTATCCCATCAGGCAGCAGTCAGAAAATAAACTTGCTCTACCTTTCATAAAGGATTAAGCTAATGCTGAAATTGTATCCAGGAACTTTTTCAATTTACTACCAGAGACTGCAACTACTGTTTTTTCATTTTTTTCTCTGTCTAACCCAGAACATTAATATTATGTCTAAATACAGCTTCACTTAAGGGGAAGATTTTTCCTGTCCTGTCTCAGCATTAAGACTGCTGGATTAAATAGCTTTATTTGATAAATTTTAATAAACATTCAATCCCATGTGTACTTGATTTTTTATAAGGTATTAGAGATCCTGCAAATCAGATTCTTCATTTTTTTTCTCCCCTTTCCTTTCCCTTTCATTACATTGTAACAGCAAAGAGAAAGATCATCAGAGACGAATTACACAAATCAGTTTTCTTTTCCTTTCTTGTTTGCTTAGGGAATTATTTTCTTCATAGAATGGCTTGGGTTGGAAGGAACCTCAAGGATCATCAAGCTCCAAACCTCTTGCCATAAGGCAGGGCCACCAACCTCCATTTCTAATATTAGACCATTTAACCTGAAAGTAGGTAGGGAAAAACTAGGACTGTATTCTTGCTATCAGTGGATGCTCAAACTTTCTAGCATCAAACCACTTTCCCTAAAATTCTAAACATATACAGTGCTTCTAACTGAATAGCAGTGCAAGACTGAAGAAGCAAACAAACATGAAATCATATCTCTCAGAGTGGTCAGAAGCAGATGTTTTGAAATAAAACAACAAAAAGCAAGCACATAACAGTATTTCCTGTAATTATCTTTTCAGATTCCAGCAATCTGTGTTTAAGGGAGAAAGATCCAGTGATTTAAAACACCAGCTAGTCTAGTAACCACTGGATTAAATAAGGAAAACAGCTTTCTTTTACAGATTTTAATTAAACATTCAGTTCCACATACGTTTGTTGCAAGTCTGCTGGAACATTCATTATCTAGAGGTTTTGCAAATCTGTGTATCAGAAAACTGCTGAAAATATAGCTTCCTCACAGTAATTTTAATTTCATTTGGCATAACGTATGTTTCTGTGGGCTTCAAAATTTGAACAGAAAAGAACCCAAAATCTGATTAATGAATGTTTGGTGGAAAATGGAATTAGTATTAAAGAAAATCAAGAAGTTAGGAGTTCATACAAAGGATATTCTTAAAATGAATACTTTTGACACAAATAAATCTAAAACTATTTCATTATTTTTCGCATTTCTGTTAATATGTCACATCTCATCATCTGGAAATGAGTCTTTTCCTAAGTGATAAAATTGAAATTATTAATATAAAGAAATGCAGAGGATGAGTCTTGCCCATTACTTACCTAAAGTACGTGGCAATGCAGAGAATGACAACAAGCATTGGGTAATATATGTAGAATCCATCTGCAATGAAGGACAGCACTTTCATTGATCCCATTATCTGGAAAACAGAACCAGAAGAGCAAGAAGCTCTGATGATACCCAGGAAAGATTTTGCTACCTCATTCTTTCCAGTTCACAACACATAAATACACAATTCTTAGGTTACATACACATAGGTATTATCATCACACATCTAATTCTTGTCATCTCACCTAATCCAAATTCAGTACAAATTTAGTGTGTTTCATCTGGTGTTGAAGTACAAGAAAAGAGGACTATTTGCTATGAACAAAAGTAGACATTACTTGCTGTCAGAAACTATTTATTCAGTAGAACCAAATTCAGCAATTTTCAGCAGCCAGTAAGGTTGGCTCCTAATCCATAAAGATACCCCATGCACAGAAGCCAGTGGGAGCTAACACTCTTAAGAAGAGAAGCCTGCACTCTTCAGCAATCTATGCTTTTCTAGGACAAAGGACAAAACATTTGGTTGACAACTCCACTGTAGCCAGCAATCATTACCAAACTCCTGCTCTATAACTCTTTCTACCCTGTTTAACCTAAGTGCAAAAATACAAATATCTGAATCTTACCATAAAAATTATCACAAAGCATTTTCTTCTTCTCTAAATCATGACAAAGCCCCAATGCCTTATTTCCTGTACTTACTGATGTGTAAGCAGTTGGCTGAGCATCTCTGTGAGAGATTGTTGCATCCATATGGGTCAAGCCCAAAAAATTCAAGCATAATGGTGGAGTGAGACGGCAAAATAACCTGAATAAATGCAAGAGGTAACAAACAGCATTTAAAACAATTTACTGCACCAAAAATATTAAGAAATCATATCAAGGAGTATGGCTTTCATGGCCAGGTTGGATGGGGCTTTATGCAACTGACGGACATGAAGGCAATCCTTCCCAAGGCAGTGGTCTTGAACTATACGGGCCCTCCTAACCCAAACCATTCTATGACACAATTTAAACATATATATGAATATAAATGAAAGAATATAAATAAAAGCTTAATGGACATTTTCAATAGATTATTTGACATGAAATTTGCAAAATACGTGCCACATACTCACATGCCACTGAAAAGGAGACTGTATGCATCTGTTTGATGATGTGAAGCTAAGTAGTAATAGTTAAATACGCGGATTCTGAAGACAGTGGAGTAAACACAGATACTGAGGAAAAAGATGGTAAGAAAACAGGCCATCTACAAAAGAGGGAAAAAAATACTTATTTGAATATAGAACTATCCTGGTTTGGCCTGGGACAGTATTAATTTTCCTCCTAATAGATGGTATGGTGCTGTATTTTGGATTTAAAATAATACCGATAATACATCCATGCTTTAGCTGTTGCTGAACAATTCATTACACTGTCAACATATTACCCTATATTACCACATCAGCAAGGAGCAAGGGGTGCACAAGGTGCTGGGAGAGGACAGAACCAGGACACGTGATCCAAACTAGATAAAGAGACACCTTATACCATACAAAACCAGGCTGAACAGTAAAACAGGATTGGGATTTGGTTAGAGCGGCTGCCGCTGCCTGGGGACTGGCTGGACACTGGTCAGCAGGTGCAGCACTTATTTTGTTTATTCTTTTTGTTATCATAATAAAAATCATAAAATCTTATTTTTAGTTCTGTTGTTTTCCTTTTCTTTCTTTTTCTTCTTTCTTCTTACATTGTGCTTATATAATGCTGCAAGTTCTTGTGCTATTCAATTTTCTCCCCTATTCTGCTACATGGAAGCAATGAATGAACAGCTGTGTGGTGTTTAACTGCTTGCCAGGTTAAAACACAAGAACTCTACTAAAGGTATTAATGTGTTAACACAATTTGTATATGCAACAGATTGAATGCAGAGTAATTTTTCATTTTGAAATTGGACAATAAAATCAGTGCCAATACTAGGAAAAAAAAACCTCCATAAACTTGTGTTGAACTATACCTGAAACATTCTGAACTTCATGTAAGTTATATCATAATTGACACTAGAAACACATATTCTACTTTTTTGTAACATAAATGGCATTGATTTAAGTATCTTGATAATTACAATGAATCATTTAACATCTTCTTCCTTTAAAAAGCATTAAGAATAGGTGTTTTAAGTTCAACCCAATTTATTAGTATACTGAAGCTTCTTCCGGTCATCTGCTTTACTGTTCCCAAGACAAGGGGAAATGGTTTTGAGGGAGGGAAGATTTAAGTTGAATGTCATGGGAAGTTCTTTACTACGAGAGTGGTGAGGTGCTGGAACAGGCTGCCCAGAGAGGCTGTGGATGCCCCGTCCATGGAGGTGTTCAAAGCCAGATTGGATGGGGCCCTGGGCAGCCTGGTCGAGTGTTAAATGGGGAGGTTGGTGGCCCTGCATGTGGCAGGGGGGTTGGAGATTCATGATCCTTGAGAACCCTTCCAACCCTGGCCACTCTGTGATTGTGTGATAACTTTCTGCAGTCAAATTCTAGCCCCATCAGGGAGTACTGGATTTCTGGCCAGCAGTGGATTCCTACTTAAGAAAAAGAGGTCATATAAATGGTTGATTAGATGGTAGGTCTAATATAAATGGTCAACCATATAAATGGTCGATTAGATGGCAGGTCTAAATATTTAGGCTCCAAGCTAATGTTTCATGAATTATTCTACATGTGGTATTCAGATCGAACGACTTTCTCTCTGTAACAGAGAGGTAAAAGGCAGGCCTCCCTCACAAAATCAAAGTCTGGTACAATGTATTTTACAGAGCTTCTGAAAGCTTGTAACAGAAACTTAAAGCTTGTTACAGAAACTTAAAGTCAATTTCATCTACTATTATTGTAAAAACAATCTAGTTTAAAGCTTTCTGTTGAGTGATGATCTCGAACTTACCTCTATGTATATATAATTGTATGTCTTTTCTGCGAGCTGTATGAATACTGCAAATAGTGATAAAACTGGCCTTGTGCTGAAAAACGTGCATTCCGACCACACGACAATTACAGAGAATGTGGCCAAAACAACTGCAAGAACCCTGTAAAACCATGGTCGTAGAAGACACTCCCAGTACCACTCTGAAAAACAAATACACATACAACTCTCCTGAGTTAATGAAAATTAGACAACCAGAAATGGAACTCCTGTAGGAAAACAAAAAAACTATTAATAACTTACTGCATGAATAACCTTAAAATCAAGGCTAAATCTTTGGAGTTGCACATTCGAATTCTGAGATTTAATGATGCCTAGAGATCTGCCTCAGCCCTAGAGAATCATATGCACCAGCTGTGGAAAACAGAATGGATTTGGGTTGCAAATATTGCAAAATTATTGACAAGAACTATTAGAGGGAGCAGAACTGGATTCTCCACTTTCAGCCCACTTTTTATTTGTTTGCTCTTTTATTACTCTACTTCAAACAAAGCTTAGACTGTAAAATTGTACTAAGAAATAAATGACTGATATTATACATCAAATCAGAAGTTAATATATGACAAGAAGACACTTTCTAAAAAACTGCACAAGCAACAATATTTCTAATTATCAGTATAGGACAGACAAAGAGCTCTTTCCCCTGTGCATTACTACAAGAGCTGCAATATCCCAATATTCTACAAATGTAAAAGACGGCTACAATTCCATAATTTGAAATTTCAAATTTTTTCTTCATTTAAAATTTCAAAATATTTCAGTTGCTATTAAAGCATGCTACTGCTATTAAATTTGTAAAAAGTTTAAACTGAGAGCCAAGTGCATAACTCAATGCCTGATGAATCTTTCATTAAACAAGCATTTCAAATGCACATTTTGGAGAGTTTCCCTCTACTCTAACCAAACATCTCCGTATGTCATGGCTTTGTGATTTTTGGTTTTCGGTATTCCACACAATAACATCGTGGGGCACTGGGAGTTTAACTGTTAATGCTCAAGCCCTGGATACCTGCCCAAAAGAGAAGAACTACATTCCCCTGGGGACTTTGCGGTCAGGTAGAGAAGATTTAACTCCTGGCAAGGTCACTTGATGCGCTTTCTTTTTCTTCTGCACTTGGTCGTGGGTGCTGCTCCTGTCTCCTTGCTTCTCAACAGGACTGTGCATCTCACCTCAGTGTTATGGTGAGGCCTATCCACCTTTCGGACATTCTCCCTCTCATTATATTTGATTTATTAGCTTCAATTCTAATTATATTGTATTGTGGTGTGTTATCTTGCATTCCAATAGCATATTTAGTAAAGTAGTTTGTTTCTCCTCAGATCGTTGCCTCTGTTTTTAATTATTTTGGGGTCTCCTGTTCCCTTTTCTGGAGGCACGGAGTTCTGCGAAATCCCTCCGCCCTGCTTGTCATGGAACCAGGCCAAACCAGCCCTTAAACCAGTGACATCATATAAAACCAGCTGTTCTTACACAACATTACCAGTTACTCCTTTATATATTCAAAATCTGGATAACAGCACTTACCAATTGTTGGTGTGTAGAAATACTGAATAATTTTATTCTCTGGTTCCTGGGACTGAAAAGTATGAACAAACTGTCGAGTTGCGCTAGTCTCATTTTTTGCCACATCTTCTAGGTAAAAGGCTTGTTCTAGAAGAATTTGCCACTGGACCTGTGTACGACGATGCCTTTGTACTGAATAAATCACCTACCATAAATTCCAAGAAATTATGGTTACAACATATCATTCCAAGAAATGAGAGAAAAGCTTTGCAGAAATCCCTTAAAAATTTCCACATTACAAAACTGCTAAGATTAATTCCATACAACCACAAAGGCAGACAGCAAACTCTCTTAATAGGTAAGCAGGAATAAGGAAAGAAAAAACAGATTCCTGGGTATTGCTGTATTTTCAGAACAATCAATCTGTATCATTATCAAGCCTACTTTTTCCAACATAGCTTCTTATTTTTGCGAACCAGCAAATACCATGCTTTTCTATAACACACTGCTAATAAGTCATTCCAAGGCCCCAAATATCATCAATCATCTAGTCAACCAAAATATTGTCAAGTTATCTTACAGTTTTTACATAACCAGAAAATACATTTGGATCACTTGAGATATTGAACTTCTATACTTTCTTTCTCTATGAAAAGTCATTAAGTAGCATTGCTAAACACACTACAGCAGGCATGCCCAACCTGTGGCCCATCCCAGCTCACAATGCATCCCATCCCACTCCTGATACAAAAACAGCAGCTCTTCTCCACAGAGCAGCCCCAGGCATGCAGCCATCACTCAGCAACAGCCAAACAGTCAGTGTGCTATCAACACTGTCAACTGAAAGCAGGGCACAGGGAAGACAGTGCTGTGCAGTTCTGACTGAGGTGATGGCAAATAATTGTATGCATATTGATACAGTGGCTAAACACAGGACTCTGAAAAGAGATGAATAAGCAGGTGCTTTCTGTTGTGAAGAAGGAATTTGAAAATAGAATCACAGAATACTTTGAGTTGGAGGGGACCTTTAAAAGCCAAATCCCCTGTACTGAACAGAGATATGCACAGCTATATCATAGAATCATAGAATCACCAACGTTGGAAAAGACCTAAAAGATCACCCAGTCCAACTGTTCACCTATTCCCAATAGCTCCTACTAAACCATGTCCCTCAACACAACATCCAGCCTTTCCTTAAACACCCCCAGGCTCGGTGACTCCACCACCTCCCTGGGCAGTCCATTCCAGTGCCTGACCACCCTTTATGAAAAGCAATACTTCCTCATGTCCAGCCTGAATCTCCCCTGCCGTAGCTTGAAACCATTCCCCCTGGTCCTATCACTAATGACATGAGAGAAGAGGCCGACCCCCAGCTCACTACAGCCTCCCTTGAGGAAGTTATAGAGAGCAATGAGGTCTCCCCTGAGCCTCGTCCAGGCTGAACATTCCCAGCTCCTTCAGCCTCTCCTCATATGGCCTGTGTTCCAGACCCCTCACCAGCTTTGTTGCCCTCCTTTGAACACGTTCCAGGGCCTCAATACCTTTCTTGCAGTGAGGGACCCAAAACTGGACACAGTACTTGAGGTGCGGCCTCACTAGTGCTGAATACAGGGGAACAATCACCTCTCTGCACCTGCTTGCAACACTGTCCCTGATGCAAGCCAGGATGCCATTGGCCTTCTTGGCCGCCTGGGCACACTGTCGGCTCATGTTCAGCCGAGCACCAATCAATACCTCCAGGTCCATTTCCTCTACGCAGTCCTCCAGCCACACCGCCCCAAGCCTGTAGCGTCGCCTGGGGTTGTTGTGGCCGAAGTGCAGGACCCGGCATTTGGCCTTGTTGAACCTCATCCCATTGGCTTCAGCCCAGCTCTCCAGCCTGTCCAGATCCCTCTGTATGGCCTCGCTACCCCCAAGCAGATCCACACTTCCAGCCAATTTGGTGTCATCTGCGAATTTACTGAGGGTAAATATCAAATATCAGGAGCTCCCAACCTGGTCCCGTCTGGCCTTGCATGTTTCCAGGGACAAGGCATCCACCACATCTCTAGGCAACCCGTTCCAGTGCTTCACTACCCTCACTATAAAAGATTTTTTTCTTAACACCCAACTTAAATCTACCCTCTTCAAGTTAGAAATCATTTCCCATTGTCCTATTGCAACAGATCCTGCGAAGGAGTCTGTCCCCTTTTTTCTTACAGCTGCCCTATAGATACTAAAAGGTCACTACCAGCAATCTGATGCCTTCTCCATATTGTAATGCCCCAGCTCTCTCAGCCTGTTCTTACAGAGAAAGTGTTCCATCCTTTGGGTCATTTTTGCATCCATCCTCTGAACACACTCTAGCAGGTCCATGTTTTTCCTAGGCTGAGGATTCCACATCTGGATTCAGTAATTCAGGTAAAGCCTCCCTAGCACAGAGTAGATGGCACCTCCCTCATTCTGATGGCCATGTTTCTTTTGATGCAGCCCAGAATATTGTCGGCTTTCTAGGCTGTGAGGGAACGTTGCTGGTTCATGTCCAGAGTGGTGCAACGGTGAATGTGAGCACAGTGAGTTGGTGGGTAGTGTTTCAGGAGTGGTGACAGTGGGTCAGATTGTTACGTGGCATGCAGGCTCTTGTTCATTGCTGGCAAAAATGCACAGCTAATGATGGCGACAGTGTTGAAAAACACTGTTTTGCAGCTCAGAATTTGGTCTATCAAATAGCGTTATTGTGCTCTTCGTATCTGTTATTGTTTCCAAGGAAATGAATCAGAGGCACTACTATTGGAGCAAACTATGTATATGCCACCCAAGACAATTTCTATTCACTAAATGTGGCCAGGCAAGCAAAAAAGCTGGACAATCATGCACTACAGTAAGCTATCTGGGTAAAATACTTTGAAAAAAATATTTGATTTGTATTTATTCTCATTACATTAGAATAAATTGCACATTCCCTCATTTATTAATATACCTGCTTGTGAAGTTTGACCAAACTTTTTTCACTTGGATAACTGTTCTGTCTTTCATCAAAATCCTCATAATCATCCATGTTCCTACCCATTCTTTCCTGGTACTCAGTAGGACACTAGAAATAAAAGAAAAATAACAGTATTTTTATATATTTTTCAATGTTATGAACATTTCATGCAACTGAGAAGCTCACTCTAACTACAGATCTTTCCTTCTGATACTAACATTTATTTACTACTGTTAGAAGAAATATTTTTTCCTTCTGAAAAAAGATCAGTTTGATATTGTTAACCAAAAAGATAAGCACTGAAAACTATTTCTCAAGAACATACTTTGTATTTTGCAAAAATTCAGAATAAGGCACACAGTGGGAAAACACAGCATTTTCTACATACCTCATTACACTTCAGAAAAAAAAAGGTATTACTGTATGTAATCAACTGTTACAAATTCTGCTCATAACGTACTACATATCTTAAAACACGTCAGATAATTACATTCATCATAGTAACTCATTCTGTACAGAATTCAAACTCCAAAGCCGGTCTGAAAACCACAAGGTGCCAATTAGAAAATTCAAGTTAAAGAGAAAATAAAATGCAAGCATTCAGTAGATGTTGGAAGTACTCCATCCTCCTCCCCCCACCATGAACCAGCTGAAGATAGTTAAAGAAGAGCAAATTAATGTATTTATTACCTTTTTCAGTATTGTGTCAACACATTTTCTCAAAGGGTGATTATACTTGATACTCTCACTTACTTTACGAACTTCCTGTCGAGAAAAAAAATACAGAGTTGTTTAGTTCAAGTAGATGAAGTTTTACAGGAAAAGACAAGAATTCCTTCCCTACCAACGAAAACAGTAACCATCAGAGCCTATGACCGGCAAAACTTAATGAGTTTTTTTTACTAGACATCCAATAAAACACAAATTAAGGACAATTTAGAAAGACGTTATGTATTTATAAAGCACACTACAGTGTCAGCGTGCAAATATTATTCTGGTTTGTGGAATACTGTTTTCTACTCATGAATGCTAATCAGAATTTATAGCTAAGTAGCTTTCTAAGTGTCCTCTGGTACTACAATTTCTAGCATTTTAGTAATTTCATTCTAAAGAAAGAAGATAAAGGAAGAAAACGGTCTAAACTAAAATGGGTGAAAGTTAAAATTTTCTGACTAAATTGCCACAACACTAATGTATAATATTCACAAGTTATAAGAGTCAGCACTGCTGCTCTTAGGAATTTTTTTTTTTTTTTTTTTTTTTTTTATATTTTCAAGTTTCAGTGTTCCTCTGAAGGCTGGAAAATAAAGAATATATATATTGGACAAGTTTTCTAAAGGAAAAGTGCAACATCTGCAGATTATAAGACAAGTGACTGCCAGTTCTCAATACTTGAAATACCTTTTTATATGCATTAACAATATAACCGATTTTATCTTGTACAAGGTATAACCTCAGAATGTGTCAATCATCTTACTGGAACTAAAGCACGGTCAAGTAAAAAAAAAACAACAAAAAAACAAGTGCTATCTTATTAAACAAAGTTACTGTTGCTCTTTCTCAACTAAATTTCATAGTTATGTACCTCTAATATTTTTAGCATTTTCATCGTAGAGCTGTTACTGAAGGAATTAAGACTTCACTGTTATGTTATGTTGAATCATCACAGAAGTTACTAGCCTCTCCTGCAGCTCCTCTGAGTATTACTTCTATGCCACAGTATTACAACAGTACAGCAGGACACAGCATTTCCGTTCTGTTACTACAACACGTTAGGAAATACTGCTTCCTCACACAAGCAACAGCAATGTCTCTCTCACAAGAAAATCTTGGAAAAAACATTGATCTATTTTGTATTTGAAGAGCACAGAGTGGTCCTGCAAATCCAACTTGGTACCTCCAAAGATCCTGAAGTACCTTAAGACTGCTGCCCACCAATGCAGATAAGCTCAATAAAGAGGCTAAAGTTGAGACATTCTGGGCTGTAGCAACCATGCCCCAGCTGAGCTCTTCAAAGTCAGGACCCTGAACTTCAGGAGAGCAAATTCCAGTTCAAGGAACTGTTGGATGAGCTCCCCTGCAAAACTGTTCACAGGCACATATGAACAAAACCAAGCTGGCAGCTCTTCGCAGACACCCTTCTGATAGCAAAAGAGCTCTCCATTCCCCACCTTAAGAAACCAAGAACAAGAGGCAGGGAACTGGCACGGCTAACCAAGAACCTGCTCTTTAGACTGAGGCAAAAGGAAAACTGTACAGACAGCAGAAGCAAGGAAATGTGGCCTGGGAAGAATACATGGACATTATCCAGGTATGGTACCAGGAAAGCAAAGGTACAGATGAAACTGATCTTAGAGAAGAATGTGAAAAACAACAAGAAGGGATTCTACAGGTACACTTTTCAGAAGAGAAAAGCAAGAAGAGAGTATACCGCCTGTGATAAATCAAAAGGGAGAACCAGCAACAGCAGTTAAAGAGAAGGTTTAGGTACTCATAGAGTTCTTTGCCTCAGCCTTCACTGGTAGTCAGACTTCTCATGCTGCTCACATCCCTGAACCTGGAGGTGGGGGTTGAGGGAGCAAAATCCCTCCCAGTAAGTACAAGATTATCCAATGAATTGCCTACTGAATGTGTACAAGCCTTCAGCGACCAATGACATTAATCCCAGAGCCTTAAAAGAACTCACTGATGTGGTTACCAAGCCATTTTCCATCATACTTAAAAAGTTCTGGCTGTCATGCGAAGTCTCCAGAGAAACAGAAACATTACTCCATTCTTAAGAAAGTGAAAAACGAAGACCTAAGGAACTACAGGATTGTGAATGCTAACCCAATGCCTGGGAAAGGCATGAGGCAGATCCTGCTGAAAGCTGTGTTAAAGTATCTGTGAGACAAGGAGGTGAACCAAGATAATCAGCATGGCTTCACCAATTACAGATCATGCCTGACAAATCTGGCAGACATGGGAGACAGCACCAGCAGAGAAAAGGAAGAATAAGTGATGTCATCTGCCTGGATTTCCACAAGACCTTTGATATCTTCCCAGACCACAATGTTATCTCTAAGTCAGAGAGATGTGGATTTGAATGGTGGATTCTTCAGTGGATAAAGAATTGATTGGATGTTTGCAGACAAAGGCTTTATGCTTAGACAGAGGCCAGTGACAAGAGATGTCCACCATAGCTCTGCCTTATGACCAATGCCATTTAACATCTTTATCTTGACAACCTAGTCAAGGGAATCAAGTGCACCCTCAGCAAGCTTGTGGTATGGCTGACATTACAGAATAAATGATGTCATCCAAAGGAACCCGAACAAACTCAAGAAGCGGGCTGACATGAACATAATAAGGTTCAACAAGGCCCAGTGCAAGGTACTGCATTTGGATTGTGGCACCCAGATGTGCACAACCTGGAGAAGTCGCTGAGAGCAGCCTTGCAGAAAAGGATTCAGATTATGGTGGATGAAAAACTTTATGCAAGCCAGCAGTGTATGCTTGCAGCTCAGAAGGTCAACTGTAACCTGAGCTGCCTCTAACAAGGAATGACCAGCAGGTGGAGGTGATTGCCCCCCTCCACTCTTCCCTTGTGAGGACCCACCTGCAGTATTGTGTCCAGGTCTGCAGCCTCCAGCACAAGAAAGACGTGGAGCTATTGAAACAAGTAAAGAGGAGGCCACAGAGAAGATCAGAAGGCTACAGTACCTCTATTATGAAGAAAGACTAGGCTTGCTTAGCCTGGAGAAGAAAAGGCACAAGGAAGACCACACTACGGCCTTCCTATACTTAAAATATATACTTGTAAACAAGAGCCAGACCAGCTTTTTGTCTGATAGTGATACTTTGGAATGGTTTTACATCTAGCTTAGATGTTAGGAACAAATTCTTTACCCAGAACATAAAAGAACAGGTTGCCTTGATACACTGTGAATGCCCCATCCCTGGAGGGGATGGCATTCAAACTGAATAAGGTTGTGGGAAGCCTGATCTAGTGACTGACAGCCCTGATTACATCATGGGGGTTAGAACCAGAACCCAAGCAACTCTATGACTCCAAAACATACTGAAAGATGAGCACAAAAGCATACACAACATAGTTTCAAGAACACTAGCAAAACACCCATACACCGGATTTTCTGGATTGCTATTCATTAGTCACCAACATTACTCTGAAAAGGTCAATAAATAATAATAAAAAAAAGAACAAACAAACAGAAAAAAAACTAACAAATAATGACTAGCAGGTTGCCATGAGATAAATATTCTTCTAGTTAGCAAAGTACTTCCCTTCTGATACTTATATAGGATGTAGTGTCATCAAGAGGCACACTATGATGATCTTAAACTACAGATACCTCATAGTAAGTACTTGCATTTTCTTGCCACAAATGCCTAATATCAAGAAATTCAATGATGACAGACAGACAATAACCTTCAGTTACTTCGTGGCATAACTAGTTGCCTACCTCCATAACATCCTCCAAATTCTCCTCTGCATCTGCTTTTTCAGTCATCAGTTTGGCAGCTTTGAAATAGGTCTTCATGAGAAGATAACCCCTCTTAGCCCCATTCCAGTGAGAACGGGGAATTTCCACCAGACCATAGCCCAACAGCAACACAAGAAGAAAGAGACCCCACGTGTTTGCAGCAGCTATCCCAATAGTCTGAAGTTGATTCCTAAAGAAAACAAAGACCACAACCAAAAAAGCAAAGTCAACAAGATATAATCCTCCATCCCACCTGCAAGAAAGTAACCTTGGAGTGTCTGTGCACAAACAAGGCTTTCAAATTTACAGAAACAAACTCTGAAACTGTTGCCTAGGCCCAATTCATTATTTAGTTGGGATTTAAACCCATCATGATTTTAACATCTAGTACATTTCCAGAAGTGGCAAAAGTTCTTTCGGGCATGCCTTTCCTCGAGGGAGATAAAATATTCTTCCTGGAGGGAGATAAAATATTCTTCCTCAAAGGAATATGTTCCTAACAATATAAAGTTAGCAAACTTAATAAAAGTGAGGTCATAACACCACATCAGGAGACTCTGTAAGAAACAGTTTCAGAACTCAGGATTTGTAGTCAGTCACATAAGCTGACAGCAACTAGGCAGTGTACAACATTACAATACTTACAATATTATTCTTACCATTGTAAATTGAACTTTGGGTTTACAGCAACATATATTAAAAATGCTCCAAAAATCAGCAGATAAGTGCCATAATATATTGCATTCTCAATCAGTGCAGTTTTAATCTTTCCAGTAATGGAGAACCCTCCTGACCTAGCATACGATTGCATGAAAGGTAGCAGAATCCTATGAAGAATGCAAACAAAAGCAAAACAGATCAGCTGATCAAAAAAAAATATACACATATACATACATACATATGCACATATAATAGTCTATCAGAAGCAAGACATTGACACAAAGGTGTTCAAAGTTTCTGACAAGATGAGCTAATGAAGTTCTTATTCCAGATAAATTGGTCTGAGGGCAAATCTTTAAAAACAAGTTGTAGATAAAAGCAGTAGTTAGCTTTACTAGGAAAAAACTCCTTATCAAGAGCTTGCTACCTTGATCTTGATTTTCATGACTGAAAAAAAGAAGTAGCTATTTAAGAATGTGTTGGTCACTGATTATGTATAATCTAAACCAAAATCACTATCAGTTTGAAGTAGATATATTTATAGTTTTTTTACTATATAATTTAATGAAATCAAATAATTTACATTAAAATTACCCAACTTAATCATTTGATGTTATGTTGTCTAAAATGCAATCTTTTCAGATAATCCCCCCATAAAAATCTGTAAGTTGGTCAGTTTCAGATACGAATGTGAACTACAAGTAAAAGGCTGCCACCTGAAGAGAGGCACAAAAAAAATACATGATACAGTATTTAGAGAAATATCTCAGTTTCAGCTGAGACAGAGTTGTTTTTCTTCATAGTGTCTGGTGTGACGCTATGCTTTGTTTAGGAGAAGAACAACGTTGATAATACATCAATGTTTCAGCTGCTGCTGACCAGTGCTTTACAGAGGCAAGGAAATTTTGTCATAGCTATTACTCTTTTTTCTTTTCTTTACCTTATTGTAGTAAATAGTTTCTATGTCAACCCACAAGTTATACTTTTTTTCCCCCCGATTCTCTCCCTCATCCCACTGGGAAGCGAGGGTAGTGAGCAAACAACCACCTTTCAGGTTAAACTACGAAAGAAATTTCGTTGATAGCTTTGCAAAATGATGATATTGCGAGTGCTACAACATAACACTTATAAATTGGACGCGTATAACACTGTCATATTCCTTGGCTTAACTTACCATGTTAAAAATTGTGATGTCCAGTATACAACACGCCAGAAAATTGGCATAATTCCATTAGGGATGTAACTCCATGGTTTGAAACATTTTTGCTTGCTGTAATAACATACAGAAACTTATTAGTAGTTGTTAAGTCAAAAGTCTTGAATTGCTTTTTTTTTCCCCTCTTTAAATTCCACTATCTAGAAAGGATTTTGGAAAAAGCAAAAGAAATAACACATTATTTTTTAACTACTCAACCATCAACCATACCAGAAGAGAATAAACTGAAGTATATTTAGTATTTGACTCACTAAAAATAACATATTTGGACAAGGCGGCTTAATTTAAAAAGAGCCTGCTCAAAGAGACATTTCAATAAGTAATTCAAGGCTTTATTTTTTCTTTTTGCACTTCCTTCATAAAAAGAAAAGCATTTAACTTCAGTTTGCACCGTAGATTTTTCAGAAGTATCTAGGGAGCATACCACCTCAATATACTAAGAAGACTATTTAGTGGCAAGAAAGTATATTAGTTGTTTCTCCTATAAACCAACTCAGCTTAGTTGCATCTCATAAACTGATTTTGTTGTATCTTTCAACAGTTACAACAAAGGTAATGTTTGCTTCAGGACACAAACAGAAAAAAAGCCTCTGGAACCTTTTTGACAGAGCAGAACAAATGGCATAGTGCTCATCTGCACCAAGATACTTGTGGTGTTATTTTCCACACTTGTCTGAGCAATAAAATAATGGTGAGTCAAGGGGCAACTCCACCAGTTCAATAGGAGTATCTGTTGAGAAATAATTGATGTTTTCCAGAATGAAACCAGTTAAACCTGTGCTGTGAGGTGTTTTTTTTTCCTCTATGTACAGTCTAAATATTTTCAGAACTATCAAATTAAGATGGTATGACACTCGGTGTGACTAGAGGTTTCAAACAAAATTTTAAGATCTGATTAATACTAACACGATCTAGCCAACTAAGTTAATATTTCTATTTTATAGTCTCAAGTCATATACTGTATAACAGTTGTCAGCATATTCTGGAATTACAGGCAAGTCACAAGGCTATTAAATAGTTTTCACATTGTGTATTTACCTAAATATACTTAATCAACATACACTGAATAGTCTAAAACAAAAGGTAAAAAGTTGTGTTACTAGGTCTAGCATTTTAGAGTGTATCCATAAATAACAATATCCTGGCAGTCTCTACTTTTGGAAAACAAATCTGGCATTACATTGCACATAATGGACATCTTAAATGTAACTACACTGCACATATCTGCAAGATGTGGAACTAGCCAACAGAGGCAAAGGAGACACAGAAAGAGTCAACATACATCCACGTTTCCCATCTTTTATTGATTATTTCCTTCCTGCCAGAAGAGAGCACGTGAGCAGTTTCAGATTACTGATTTTCTTTTATTTTTTTCCTCTCAGGGAGGACATGAGGAAAAACTTAATTACCACAAGGGTGGTCAAACACTGGAAAAGGCTTTCTAGTGAGGTGTTCAATGCTGCGTACCTGTCAGTTTTGAAGAGGCATCTGGATAATGTCCTCAGTAATATGCTTTAACTTCTGGTTAGCCCTGAAGTGATCAGACTGCTGCACTCATCTTTGAAGATCATCTGAACTATTCCTATATCCCACTGATCTACTCTATTCTAACTTCAATTATTATATATGCACAATTATAATAACCCTTACATATGCTCCCTGAATATAAAACAAGTCTATTAATCTCTACATTCATGATTTATAGAATTAGATTTTCATATCCAAAGCCTTAAAATTATGGAGCATTCAAAGCATTTCCTGGTAGATAACCAAAGTTATTAAAAAAAACTTACTTCTATCAGTTTAACAACAGCAGAAGTCTATTATGAAATTGAAAGCATCAATAGGAATATTTAGGTAATTAATTAGAACTAGAGGTATTACAAATAAATGCCTACCAATAGATGCAGATACAACTTTCTTCGCCTCTTCTCTCACTCTCCTATATGCTTCCAATCTTCAAATGTCACATCAAACAGGTAATACTTACATAAAGGAAGCCATGAAATATTTCTTTAAGAAAAGCCTATTTGAAGAAGACTTACCTTGGAGCAAGAGTAACAAAAGAGCCATTGGTTTCTGCAGGGCTGGAGTTAACAGCAAGCTTGCATCGATTATAAATTGTCTAAAAGAATTTTTTATCGGGAAAAAAGTACAACATGTAATTAAAAAACAAGTCCCATTTTAAACACATTTCCTTTCCTCTGAATTTACATTTGGAAGCAATTAAAGTAATAAACACTCAACATGCAATCTGCATGCAGGCAAAGAAAATAAAATGGAAGTGCTTTTATGCTGCTGAAATAGTTTTAAAAATTGCTATAAACAAAAAGAATTCTAAAAGATGTGAAAGATTTGTTGTCTTATAAGAGCAACAAAATTAACTGTAATTGAGAAGTTGTCATGCAAAAACTGATGTGCTAAGTTTAAAAAGATACTATTAGAGAACTTTATTTGCTGTTTTAAATATAGTACTCTGCAAATACGAATTTAAAAACAAAAATACAAATGCCTCATTTTACCTAACAGAGTGGAAAATCTTACAAACTTCTTACCGTACTGACGTCCAAAGGCAGTATAAATACAATTAGAAAGCAGAGATACCAAGCCAGTAATGTTGCAATGATCACCAGCCTATGCTGTTTCCTGAAGTCTCCATATCGATGAAGTAGGAATAAGGCCAGAAAAAAGACAAACACAATCTCAAGGCCCAACGCTGCACCACTCATTATTGAAGGTTCACTCCAGACACACAGCAGAGCTCACATAAGAAGGCTGATTAGAACTGCAAGACAAGACGTTATTTAATTACATTAAAATCTCTGAAAGATATTTAGGCAGAAAAGTTTTCAATATACATTTTTGAACTTTATAACAGGTTTTTCTGATGTCATTCAAAAAGAATGAAGATTTTTTCAGTAAGATGCTTTGAACTCTTCCGCATCTTCATGGTCCAGAAGATCCTGAAATCATTTTTTGTCTGCGAATAAGATTATGTAAGACTATAACTTTTACAATAACTACAAATTAAAAAAAAAACACCAAAAAAACTCTTTTATCTTCATCCAGAAGAATTCAAGTAATTTTAACAAAGGAGAGGTTTAAACTTAAATGTTTCCAAAAAGCTACTCAGAAACTTCTATCTAATGGACTGTTGATCAACTATGCATTTAAATTCTCTACTCTAGAGTTAATAGAGCATAAAAATACAGCGAAGCTACTTGCAATGCAGCTCTTCTAAAATTTCATAGGAGGGAATGTGTTAGCTAGCTAATTCACCTTCCTACTTTTCTTCTGCTCTTCTTCAGAAGAACACAGGTCTCCATTCACTATTAGAATTACTATATTTTCCTTTTCTCTGGGATGACTTACTGTTACAGTCAGTTACCATTACTGCTAAAAATTCTTAGAAAGCTCGTCCTCACTCAGGCATGCTACTAAGCAAAAGACCAGTGAGCTGCACAAATCTGCTGAGAAAGCGTCATCACCTTGTTATACAGTTAGTAAAATTGTTTCTGATTTTTAACACTTCATCCATTTAAAAATATATATATATGTTTACCCTGCTCAGACTAACTTGCTTTTCCACCAAAGTTACCATTTTATTTGTTTTGATTCAACTGAAAGACCTTTTGACATCATTTCCTCACTGTTCTATTTTTAAGTGTTTTTAATTGTCACTGAAATCCAGGGATTTAAAAGAAATGCTACTACTAAAATTTCCCTCATTTTACTCAAATTCTGTTCAAGTAAACTGTTTCTTCTACTAATTCCACAGTACACAGCTAAAATATGCTATAAGATCTCTACGCATTGAAAAATGCTTTATTACTAGTAAAGAATTTCAAAGTTTGTGATGCCACAGTACTTCCTTTAGGAAGTCCTTTGGGACACATACAACAGTTATTCCCTGAATTTTCCCTGAAGATTTGTTTACCCCATTTTGCTCCTTTTGCATTTAATTTCTAAATACTGAAAACAGTCTATTTACTTCATGTCAGCTGTTATACACAAAGCACCCCATATTCTGAAAATGGGTTGAATTACCTTCTTGTATTTTATGAAAGATGTACTTTCTATATTCACTTCCTATATTGTCTATTTTGTAAGAGGTTTATTAAGTAATCGGTAATTTTATCAAGTCAAAACATCCCCCTGCTATCTGCCTGTACTGCATTTTGGACAGCTAATTTGTAATTCATGAATCCAAGGCATCTAATCTACTTCTCGATAGTACAATAGAATACATAGAATGAACTATTCTCATTTCCTCAGAAAAGAAAGTCTTTCACATTCATAGTATAATACCAAATTCCACTAAAAATACAGCATTTCCTCTTCACTCAAAGCCCAATTTTATTAAGGCAGAGCTATCTGACATATGCAACTTTGGATGCCCATCATAGCCACACCTTATGCTATGTAATTAAAATTATACATCATACCCTCCATGAGTCATACCTATAGAATTTTTTACTACAGTCACACCTAAGGAGCAGAAATCTGTATAGAATGTGAAAACTTTCTGTGTAAGATGCTGCACTCAGTTCCTAACCAGAGATTTCAAAAAGGTTACAAGTGTGTACACAACGCACTAAAATAAAGAGGGAATTGAACTTAGCACAGCTTCAACTCACTTTCAAAGATTTTGTTCAAAAATGTTAGACAGAAAACAGTAAAAAGTAGTTCTAGGGAGAAAAAAAAACCCAAATAAATAAAAAAAAGTCTTACAAAGAGAGAAACAACACATCTCTTATTGTGAACAAAATCTTCTTATGAGGACAGCCACATCTGGGTCTCTTGGTAACAGAATGAAGACGTAGAATATATTACTGAAAGACATGCTTACCTGTGGGAAACCGCACGTGCCTCTGAAGCTGGCTGTTAGCTCACAGAAAGATAAGATACTTGCCCACAATCCTGTTTCTCAACTATTAGCACTCCCCAGAATGAGCTGGCTAAAATTCCTGAACCCTCAGAAAATTTTCTCCTGTGATCAGAGAACTACTTCAAAAGAGCTCTCTCTGCTCCAATGTTTCTGTTAAACAATTACAAGAAGTAACAAGCTTATTAACTGAAGAGTATCTATTGACACTCCATCACTTAAGAAAAAAACACAACTTACTGTAATTTAGATCCAAAGCTATTTTGTTTTAGACATGGGCTTTAAAACCATATATTCTGAAGCTTATGAATGGAAGAATCTGAGTAGCCCCACACAGGGCAAGAGCTTCAAAATTCCTGCAGGAAATCTTCTAAGGTCCAAACACAGCTAAGGACTTAGCAAGAACCCTGAAAGGGTCAATTCATACTTCAGTAACCTTGAAGACTCCCTACCATCATGTCTTAAGTTACCCTGCCAGCCTGGAGTCTATCCAAGTGCAGGGATACTTACATTACAAATGAACTAACTGCTCACTCAGCCTGGCACAGAAATTATGTGTTAATAGATGAAACAGCAGAAAACCAACTGTGCTGCTTCTTAAAGATTCTAAATAGCTCTCAATTTTATAGCAAAGGTATTCCAAAACAGGACTAAAAATATCAGGGCACATCTGTGTAGAAAGGCCCAGCAGGGAAATTAATGAATTGTGAAAGGGATGCTGTAAAGAACAACATTGAAGACAGCCAAAGCATGCTGAAAAAAACATCTGTGCAGCAGCACCTCCCACTTCAAGCTGAATCCAAGCTCTGGAGCACAGGTAAGAAGAAAGCTGCCACCTCCAGCACACTATCAATGGTGAGTTCCACGGTGAGCTCCTGCCTTTCTGTCAAACCAATATCAACCAACATCACCAATATAAGTGCTTAACTCTAAGCTTTAGAAACATTCATCTTTAAAAAAATAAAGTGGACTATCTCACATTTCAGAAATACTAAAAAGAAGAGAACGTAACACTGAAAAGCAATCCCTTCAGACACTTTCATACTCAGCTCTGCTCAGTCTGCTGATTTTCTTTTTTTGTTACCTCCCAAGTTCTGTAGTACACACTTACCCTTGCACCACAGGGATCAGATAAGCAGATGACAGATGAAGAGCTTCTTAGCACAGACAAAACTATCTACAGAAAGAAACTGGCCTTCAGCTGCCCACAAAAGCTGATCAGTGCAGTCACCCTACTGCACCATTAAAAAGAAATAATCTCTGAAATGAGCCAACAGATGCAATCTGCATAGCTTTGCTCTTCTAAGAAACAGTGATCAAACCACACACCAACCAGTATTTTATTAATGCCTGCAATTTCAATTATCTTGGAATGTACAGAATTACAGAATATCCTGAGTTGGAGGGATCCAAGACGATCATCGAGGTCAGCCCCTGGCTACATACACAACCACCTAAAAACCAGACCATACGTCTGAGAGTGTTGTCCAAACACTTCCTGAATTCTATCAAGCCTCTGTCTCAACTACTGCCCTACAGAACCTGCTCCTCTCCAGGAAGAGAGCTTACAAGCAAGAAGGTGACAAACTTTTTACATGCTCCAATAGTGACAGGACAAGGAGGAATGGCTCTAAACTAGAAGAGAAGAGATTTGGGTTAGACATTAGGAGAAGATTCTTTGCTCAGAGGGCAGTGAGGCACTGGCGCTGCTGCCCAGAGAGCTGTGATGCCCCATGCCTGGAGGTGCTCAAGGCTGGTTTGAATGGGGCTCTGCGCAGCCTGAGCTGGTGGGAGCAACCAGCCCACCGGGGGGGTTGGGCTTTAACATCCCTTCCAACCCCTGCCAATCTATGATTCTAAAATAATGTATGTAAACAAGGTTTAAAACTAACTAAACATTTAATCTTTGCATATAGTACTCTGGAAATAATAACACATCAGAGAGAATAGACAGTGGGTAGGCACCAAGATGTACGACATGAAAGCTGTGTAGCTGCAGGATGAACCCAGAAGAACAGAACCTGCGACGCAGGCTGCCTGGGGGATGCTCACACAGAACAGGTGTCACTGAGGAGGTCTTCACGTGGTTACAACCAGAACGCCGCAGTGAGACGGACAGACTGTTTGGAAAATCAGAACTGAAATTACAATTAAGTCTTATTTACCCCTCCGCTCGCGGCTGTGCCCGACCGGGCCCCTGGTGCCATGCGTCCCGCTGCCGCGGGCACGACCCTGCCCGCGACAGGAGGCTCCGAGCAGCCGAGGCCGGATTCCACACGGTGCCGAAGCAACGACAGCTGCCCTGCGACACAGCCCGGAGCGCCGCGGGGGCCGCGGCGGAACATAAAGCACCCGAAAATGGGCGCAAAGCCGAAAAACGAGCGTCGGATCTCCGATTCCTCAGCGCCGGGAGGAGCCCAGGCCCGTCGGCCGCCCGCAGCCCAGTGACGGGAACCGCGGTCGGGCCGGGCCGTCCGCGCCCCCCGCCGTGCCGCGCCCCTCCCCGGCCGCGATTCGACGCTGCGGCCCGTGCCGCCCCTCACCGCGCTCAGCAGGCGCTCCCCCGCACGGCCCGGCCGCCTTCCATGCTCGCTGCCGCCTCTCCCCCGCGCGAGGCCTTAAATCGCCGCGCACGCAGCTCCGCCCGGCTCCTTCCGTGCCGCGGGGCCCGGCGCCGCTGACATTTCCTCTCCGGCGTCGTCACCGCCTCGGCTCGGGAGGCGGGCGCGGGACAAGGCGGGGCGAACTACGGCTCCCGGCAGCGCTCGCGGCGGGCGCCGAGTGGCTTCCGGTCGGCTGGGCCTAGCGGGCGCGCGGCGGACGGCGCGGGGCTGGCGCGGGGCTGGCGGGCGCGGAGCTCGGCGGACGCTGCGCGGAGCACGGGTCTCCCGCCCAGGCATCCGCCGCTATGCTCAGGTACTGGCGCCGTGCGGAGTATCGGCCCTCGCGGGGAGGCCGCAGATCAACCGGGAGGAGGGCTGGGGGCAGCGCGCGGGGCTCCGCGGCTGTGGGGGCGGCGGGAGGCAGCGCGCGTGCCTCTGCGAGCTGCGCTCTGCGCTGAGGGCGCGAGAGCCGTGCGGGCCGCTGAGGCGCGCGGCGCTCCCTCACGCCGCCCGGGTGGGCGCTGAGGGAGGGCTGAGGGACCGCCCCGCTCCTCTGGGGAGGGGGGAACTGGGGTTAAAATTAAACTTTTTAGCGGGGATTGTTGCTCTACTTGAGGGTACGGGTTGTTAGCGAGACCTGCTCCCTGCCTAGGCGGCTCTTTGCCGCCTTTCTGTACTCCGCGCCGGCCTCCAGAGAACGTGGCGATGGCCTCGCAGAACGCGGGTCTCCCTGAATCCCGTAATCCCTCAATCCGTGCAGAAAACATCTCCAGGAGATCCCCTCCTCCGGCAGCAATGTCTCCGCTGGCTTCAGCTGGGACTGGGACTCCAGCAAGACCTCGGAGTTCCTCTCGGGCATGGGGGTGTCGGTGCTGAAGAAGGACAAGCTGGGCAACGAGAATACCCCTCAGGAGCCGCTGCTGCCGGCCTGCACGCCCCACAAGCGGCTGAAAGTGAAGGAGAAGGAGTTCGTCATTGTGCGCAGGCCTCGGCTGCTCCGGGAGACAGAGCCAGGTATTGGCAGGCGGCCCTGCTTTCGTTTACTCTGCTAAATTAGTAGGAACTATTGCTGCAGCCATTCCCAACATAATTTTGAAACCCAAGGACTTGAATTTTTTTATATAGGAATTCTCAGAATTGAGAAACCAGGCCCTTCAGACCACAAGAATCCAGATGCGCATCTCTTGCAGGGTGCCAGGGGGCAGCCACTCACTCCATTGGGGTTGCTATGTTAATGCGTGCAAGGGTCCCTGTTGGAAAACTGCAGGAAGGGTGCAGCAGGGACTCTGGGCTGGCAGGGGAAGGATTCAGTCCTCAGAGCAGCAGGAATACCCTTAGACACTTCTGCTTTTAAATGAGCTCTGGGTTGTAGGCAGCTGTTCTGGAGCTCCAACATGTAGAATTTTTTTCTGGGCAGACAGAAACACTAGGTAACTGTGTACCTGTTTGTGAGAATTTTGGGTCGCACACATTCTTAAATAGTTCCTGAGAGATGTTTTGAAGAGCACTTTCCATTACCCACTTTTCTCTGTGTACTATACAGATGCATACCTCCCTTTGGGCGCCTTCTGGAGGTGTAAGGTATGTGGCAGGGATGGGCATTTCATCAGGGGAGTATAGAGACAAGAAATCCTCAGATGTCCTTCTAGACCTGTTTTTCCCTTCCTGCTTTTGGGGAAGCATACAAGCCTTAGAATACAAATGAAATAGCTGAGATGTTCTCATTTCCTGAAGAATATTTTTTAAAATGAAGAGATGAAAGAGGAATGAGTAGTATGTAGAGTCCAGGGACAGACTGTAGTTGTCCTTCTGGCAACCAAAGTGAATAAGGCATCAGTAGGCAAAAATGAGCCAGCTTTAACTAGAGCATGCTCACTCTTTCCCTAAAGGAGTTTCTTGGGATGAACTTCCAGATGAACTTCTATTGGCAATCTTTGCATATTTGCCCCTGAACGACTTGTTGAAAGTTTCCATGATTTGCAAGAGGTGGCATCGTCTGTCGTAAGTATTGCTTCTTGTCACTTAATGCTAAGAACTTTGCTTCCATAGGTTGATAAATGATTTGGTTTTCATCTTGCATGTTCAAGTGTAATTCAGTCTATTATGTGAGTTGTAAGTACGCATAGTCTCAAAAGACAACTGAACTATTTTAACATTATTAAATTGTACTAAATGGCTTTTCTTCCTCTCAACCTTTTGTGAGTCTGGAAAGTTTCTGTAGTTGTACTCAAAGATATGTCTTTTCCTTGCTAATGAGTAAAATTCTTCTCCCTAGATTTGATGAATCTCTCTGGCAGACTCTTGATCTGACTTGTAGAAGTCTGCTACCAGGAGTTATTGGACAGTTGCTACCTGCAGGTGTTATTGTGTTCCGCTGCCCAAGATCTTGTATTGGGAATCCGCTGTTTAAAACCACAAAGTAAGGCTTTCACTGTGTACCGAGTTATTGGAGTCTCAAATTTTCAGTGTTTTTCTCTTTGTTTGTTTTTTGTTTGGTTGGTGTTTTTTTTGTTTTTGTTTTTTGTTTTTGTTTTTTTTTAACAGCTTCACCAGTTTGTCATCTCTGTGGAGTGTGAAATAGCTGATCAGTGGTGAGGCACGTGTTGAACTAAGATCTGTATTCATCAGTCAGTTATTAAGAAATAAGCTAATATATTTGGGAGTATACTTCCAGGACCGTCATGTTCTTGCAAGTTATTTCTTCTAGAACCAGGAAATACGAGCCTCATCAGCACTGTTCTGTGTGAACCTCAAGAAACCTGTGTAACTCTAGCAGGATAGACTTGCAGCTATTCTGATAAATCCTCTTAAGTATCTGAAAGATAAAACTGCTGAAGTTTTGGCTGGTAGATTATTGGTACAGCCAACAAGCTTAGTAATACATACAGTATGCAGCTGATATTGAGAAATACAACTCCTCTCTGTAAGCTTTGCACGCTTTTACAGTATTGCATATATTTATGGTATATGAAATTTGTGGTTGCTTTTTGGTGCAGTTTTACTAACCACTCTTTCTCATCTCTTAGACCTCTCCGGGTTCAACATATGGATTTGTCAAATTGCACAGTATCTGTTGCAGATCTCCAGAGTATTCTTTGTCGTTGTGAGAGACTGGAGAACCTCAGCTTGGAGGGACTAGTGCTTTCTGATGATATCATCAAGTGAGTGAAATGTTTGGGGATATTTCATAAGTAACTTACATTTAGTGCCATTCTTTTGTGCAGGCTAGGGTCAGAATACAGTTGGAGTTGTCTCTTGTAGGAGTTGTTTGAAAAGGCCTGCCCTAGTCATTTAATGGATTTAGCTGGCAGGCTATGTGAGCTGCCTCTTTCCTATATGTCCAAGAGACCAGGTGGGGAAGAAACACAGGTCTAGAAGAGTTGTTGGGGTTTTTTTTGTTTGTTTGTTTGTTTCCTTTTTCTCAGAGTACTTACCTCTGTGGGGGTTGTGTCCCTTCACTGTTCCTACATGTGAGCTGCAGAGCTACTTTTCCAATTTCTGTGCTCCCCGGACATGTTCACATTTAGTGTATATATTCTTTTATATTTTAAGGAGTTCCAGCAACTTTTCTACCAGATGCTCTGTGTGCTTCTGCACCATTTCTCATTTCTTTGCTGACCTTCAGTGAAAAAGGTATCTGAAAAATTAGACTCTGTCAAGCACATGAACTGTTCTGTTAAACAGGAAAAGCACTAATGGGCGTGCAGTCAAACTCCAGCTCAGTAACATCAGATGATTATGGGGGTGCTAGGAACCAGGCTAGATGGCTAGTGCTATGGGTGATCTGCTTTCTACTCTTGAGTTTCCTGATGCTTTTCTCATATCAGGAAAAAAAAGAGTGCAAATAAACCAGTATTGTTTGGCTTGTGATGCCAAATGAAAATTGTTTACAAATTAGGCAACAATTAATGAACTTAATTGCCCTGTGTACAAATATAGTAGTTGTAAGGGGAATGCTGTTTGGAAATGTGTGTGTTTTTTTATTTTATTTATTTTCCTCCTTAACTAACCTCTGCCTCGTAGAGAAGATTTCCAAAATAAGATGATTGAGTCATATAATCATTTCAGTTTGAAGGGATCTTTAGTGGCCATCTAGTCCAAGTGCTCTGCAGTGGACAGGGACATCTACACCTAGACCAGTGTGCTCTGAGCCCTCTTCAGCCTGATCTTGAATGCCTGGAAGCACAGGGCATCCACAACCTCTCTGGGCAATCTCTTCCAATGCTTCACTAATAAGTGCTGTAGTGAGACTGTTTAGTCTTTTGTAGAGATGCAATGATCTTGAATAGGTCATGGTGTTTGTTCAATGAGATGTAACAGGAGAGGGCTGGTTATAAATACGCAAGCATATCAGGAACATTGTGTAAATAGGCAAGTGTCCTTTACCAAACTGTGCCGTGATGCAGCAAGCAGTTGAGATCTTTAGTGACTCTTTTAATAGAGTCTGTTTACTAAAGATGCAGTGCTGCACATTCAACAAATAATTCCGTGCCTGGAATCTTCACTTATAAACGTTATCATGTGTCTTAGTGATAAAAGCAATGTTCCAACATTTTATCTTTTTTTCTTTTCTACAGGAGCATTGCTAACAACCCCAGTCTGATACGACTAAATCTTTGTGGGTGCTCAGGGTTTTCTGCAGAAGCTTTGGAGCTGATGTTAAACAAATGTTCTATGTAAGACAAAAATAGTTTTTGCTATTCCTACTTACTGTTAACTCCTGAGAGGAATTGTCCTTTTTATTTTTTGATAGGCATTCTAATTGTTTGTCTGTCAGTATGTTTCTTATGAGGCTTATTATGTTCCCCAATGCTTAACTGTTGGTTATTACTTGAATAATTATATAATTTCTTTCCATCAAGCTTTCCTTCTTTAATAGCAAAGAGGTACTTAGAGGTACTTGAGTAATTTTTTGTAAGTTTCTTTAGTCATCATCCTTAAAGGAAGTCTTGGTTGGTTCAAAACTCATCTACATCCACTTGGTTAGCTAGTATATTTGATTTTCTTAATGAAAGCACTACATCATTCTCACAGTGTGAAAGCATACAAGTTTGTTTGAGGAAGATACCATCTGAATGTGGAGTACAGGAGTTCCCTATGCAGTCAGAGAACAGTATGAATGGCAGAAAATATTATGCTCTTCCATCCATGGTAGAACAGTTCTGCAGTTTTTGAAGCACTGGTTCAGATTAACAGATCTAGTGATTAAACCATCTGCTGTCAGAAGTCACTGAGTTGAGCTTCAGTAGCTCTGGGATTTACACCCCAATCTTTTTGCTGAGTTCTTGTGAGATGTTGGACAATCTTCTTAATTTGTTTCTGCACAGTAATATTTTTAATCAAACTGCAGTAGACCAGTGGACAGACAAAACCTTAATCTTGCTCTGGATAGTTAATGCTTACAGCTGCTGGATCGGATTACTTGGATGCTGAGCTTCTTAAAGAAAGGCAGTATCTGTAGAATGCACAGTGCATAAAGATCAGGTCTGCCATCTGATTAAAAAAATGATATTTTTGATTTTACGTAATGATTGACAGCTGAAGGCTCTAGTCAAGCAGTCTACTTTGCCTTTATCCTCTGATTACATCTCTAGCAGCTGCACACAAAACAGTAGTATGACAGGTGATACGCTATTGGCTGCTGAGCGTGTAGTTGAGGTAAGGTCACAACCTGACCCGTGCATATATAAAACTGTAGGTATTCTATGATGACAGTGCAATTGGTCACCTGAACAATGCTAATAAGTGATAGCAAAAGATTTGTGTTTCTACCTCTCAATGTAAGATCTGGTCAGTGGGAACAAGTTCACATCACCAACCAAATACAAGATGAAAAGAAGTATCTCCCCTTGACCATTTAACTTTCTACAATGATCATGAATTATTTTGATTGAAAGTGATCTTGGGAAGATGCTTAGGCCCTTTGCCTACAGCATGTTCTAATTTCAGCACTGGTCAGGACTTTGTCTAGTTGAGTCTTGAAAACCTTTGCAGACAGATTTCTCACAGCCTGTCTGGGCAAACTGCTTCAGAGCTTAATTATTGAGAAGTTTGTATTAACGAATACAAGAACTTTGGTAGTAGATGTACCACAGTTTGAGTTCTTATATATATCTAATGCAGTTGATACTCCTAAGGCAAAAACATCTATTTCAGTTATTCTTCCAAACCATTCTTTCTTTGTGTGTAGGTTGGAGGAGCTGAACTTGTCCTGGTGTGACTTCACAGCCACTCATGTCAAAACAGCAGTTAGTCACATTACTTCAAAAGTAACCCAGCTAAACTTAAGTGGATACAGACAGAACCTACAAATATCAGGTAAATATCAGCATGGAAAATATTTATTCCACTAAGAAATAAAGCAGCAGGCTTTGTATTTACTTCTGACTGGTGTCCACTCTAAGTATTAGAAATACTGTGTGCTAAGACTGATTTTTATGCTCTGTAAAGAGCATAATGTTTGTATTGTCAGAAGATCCTACTAATTTCTCCAGCTTAGCCTTGAGGAATGAAATAATTTGTCTTCTCAATTTAAAAATAGGTAGAACTAATTTCATCTTCACTTGAAAGGTATAGCCTTCGCTTTTGAACTAATTCCCTCAAGCAGGGGAATAGATCTCGTGTTAACTATGAATCATCTTTTCTGATATTGTATATTGGAAAGAAGCTTAGTTTTTGGAACATTCTTTAGATAAGGCTTCTGCTGTTGTGTCTGCTGAAAAGGTCATTCAAAAAAAGAATAGACATAATGACTACTTAGGTTCTGCCCCAATGTAACATCCTACAGATATTACAGATCCTACAGTTAATTTGGAAGGCAAATAATATCAGTATGAGAGGTGTTGAAAGCACGTATGTCTTTATAACTGAAAGGTGGGCTGACTGTGACTTCTTTACAGATGTTAAAACGCTGGTGGAAAGATGTCCTTTCCTTGTGCACTTAGATCTAAGGTAAGAACTCCTGTGCAGGTAGTCCTTAAGTCCTTATGGTTCAGGGGATTGGTAATGATACTGCTCTGCAGTAACCATACAGCAGTAATTAGTAGTTGAGTAGGACTGCACAGCCAAAAGTTGCTTCCCAAGTTAAATTTAGAAAAAAATTACTATCTGTTTTAACTTAATCTGGAATAAGTAACTAACTTAAAAATTTCTTTTTTACTTCAGAGTAAATAGTAAATAGTAGCACATAAATGATTTGTTAACTAATAAATGGTAGCAGTCAACAGATAAAATAAAAGGAAGCATACGGGCTTATGGTACCCTAGTGAGAATATCTTTCAGCTCTCATACTACATGGCCACAGAACTGCTTTGATTTCTGCTGCAGAAAATCTACTTGCAGAGAATTTTTATTTTTTTGCCCTTCAGTGAAAATCAAAACGTGTCACACGTTAGGAATGGGTTACTTCTGTATCGAGCAGGAAGTGCTGTAATGGCAGGAAAACAAGTGGATGTTTTACACTTCTCAGCTTGAATTTTAGAGATATCAAATTTACTTCTGTTTTATAATCAAAAGATAACTTCTAATTAATATGCTCTCATGCAGCGACAGTGTGATGTTGAAGCCGGAGTGTTTCCAATATTTTCATCAGCTCATCTTTCTGCAACATCTCTGTCTCAGCCGATGCTACCAAATATCACCTGCTGCCTTAGTGTAAGTAATCCCTAAATGGCTTTGGTTTACTAATTCAGAGGATAAATAATTTTAAACATGCTGTGTTTTGGGCTTAAGAACTGCAAGTACTGTTTTGATAAACATACTGGTACAAAGTAGGAGTAAAATAACGTGGTGACTAGGTTGTGAACCTTTAAGAATACAAACTGGAACCAAAGGTATCTGAATAATGTTTCCAGTCTGTAGTTGTTGAGCAGTACGTTCTACATGTGCCTCATGTCTGTTTAAAGGCATTACTTTGAGGTTCCAGTCCTGTCAGTGACAGTGTCAGCATTAGGTTTTTAATTGTGCAGCAATCAATAACTTGCTTTCAGAAACGTTAACAGAGTGGATGGTATTTGCTGACCAGTGTAAGAATCTCTATATACCTTTCCTTTCTGTGCACCTGCATTGGTTATTGGTTGGCACTGAAACACAGCTTAGAGTTATTTGCTCAAAGGCTTTTTTTTTTTTCCTGCCTTTCATTATTGCAACTATTCAGCTCTATCCTATTTTGCATCTGAAATAGTATGCCCTCAAGAAAAAAAAACTTAAGCCTAAAAAATTCAGTAAAAGTACATTTAGCTAGTTCGGGTATAGACTGCAAAAATGCTTTCAGTATAATGATTAACTTCTCACTACTCTCTTTCTAGAGAACTTGGTGAAATTCCAACATTAAAGACTCTTCAGGTATTTGGAATAGTGACTGATAGCTCCCTACAGCTCCTCAAGGAGACGCTTCCTGACATGAAGATCAATTGTTCACATTTTACAACTATTGCAAGGCCAACTGTTGGCAGTAAAAAGAACCATGAAATTTGGGGTATCAAATGCAGATTGTCACTGAGAAACCTTAGTGGCTAGTGATCTTGTACGATGGATGCCATGAATGCACCGTGTAGTGAAGCTCCTTGAGAAGCAGAATGTCAGAGCACATCTAATCATAGTTCTGTTTTTTAAAGTATTGTATCTTGGTCTTACGCCATAATGTAGTTCTATAAGTATGTTTATACTCTTTAAAAAAAAAAAAAAAAGCCTTTAGAAATCTGATGATCTGTAAGCAATTGTAGAAAATTTTTGTTTTAGGAGAGCTACTTCAAAAAAAAAAATATTGTGAAACAATCACTGTAATGGAACTGTTACAGCCTTTATTAACTGCTGCAGGTTTTGATGCAGCTATGATTGTTCTTAGGCATTGTAAAAGTGCTTTCGATTAAATCTTCCAGCTCTGCAACTCCTGGAAAAATCAGTGGAGGTACTAGATGGCTTAGTTTCCTGCTGGTCTGAAGTTTACAGAAATCAAATAATGCTATCAAAATCATTAAAATTATTAACTGAGTGATATGTATACTAAGATGTGAAGCTACCCTGTTTGGGAGAGTGAGTCTGAATTCACTGAACATGGAAACAGTAAAGGAGCATTGGAACGGAGGAAAGCACTTAAGAGCTCAATACTGTACAAACAAGAAGCAATACAAATGAAGTTTTTCTTCAAGACTTCATGTTGCTTTTCCTTGCTTAAGCGAACTTAAATTAGGGATGAAATCTCCAAACTTCTTTCTTAGGGTCTTTCAGCTGCATTTAGTATATTGAAAAAAAAGTTGCAGGAGTGAGTATCTTGGTTCTAGAACTCAGAGCAGCAACAAAAACTGGGGCTGCACTGTAGGGATTTTGAGAGGAACTCCTTTGGTGCTATTAAGAGAGATCCATTTCTCTTTTAGCTTAAGTTTCTAGTATCATTTAACTTCCTGTATCTTTTAACACTAATAGGAAAAGCTAACATTGTCACAGGAAAAGTTAAATAACTAACCAAACAAACAAACAAACAAAAAAACAACCAAACTAAGACTAGGGACAAGTAATGAGCCCCCCACCTCTTGGGGAACAGATGTGGCTCAGTCCTGCTGTGGGCTAGGCATGTTCCAGGGATAAGGGTAAGAGTTATTATCATCTTTTAGCACAAAACTTGCAAGCAGTGAGCAACAGTAGGGGATATACCATTGTTGTGGTAAATAGGCTGTTGCATAGGCATAGTGTCTTCCAAAGTCAGTCCAAAGATAAAAAGCTTAGTAATAAGTACACAGCAAAGTAGTGTGGAAAATTGCTTGTTTGCAGTTTTAGTTTTCATGCCTTAAATTACTTTAAAAGTTTACTTCAAGATGAAAGGTGTATCTATTTGTAATTCTTCTCTCTCTGTATAATGTAACCCCATAAAACATGTTTTGCATTTAATAAAAAGCTAAGGAATCGCTATATTGTACTAATGATTTGCCACCACCATTTTTGCATAACTGAAAAAGCAGAAACTTGTGCAATCAGTGTCTTACCAACTGTGATTTAGATGACAGGGTATCATAATGTCATGCTTAGTAAATGAAAGGAAGGTGAGCACAATAAACACACACATCACATATGCATTATATATATATATTTAAGTTGAAATCAGGCCTGGGACAACTTCAAGCATCTATTAAACTTTTAATTTTATTACATAATGTAGAAATTAAAAAAAAAAAAAAGCAAAGACAACCTGTTTAGTTTAGCAGAACACAAGTGTGGACTGGCACTAAAAGATGACACCATGGATTTTATTTGATTCAGCAGGTAGAAGAGTTCAGTGCCAGTCCAGGCCAAATAAATCAGTGTTATACCAATACTCAGCCCTGTCACAGAACATTGTCTACAAGGTAAGTTGTCTCTACTGCTTTCCTTTATAACAAAGGATTTTACAATTCTTTAATAGAAAAGGTAGCTGCTTACTGATTATCTATTATAGATCTCTATCCCATCCTTGTTATTTAAATCAAGCATTCACCAGTAAATGCTATAACAGAAGTGCAATTAAAATACAGACAAAACCAGTAGAGGCCACTCATGAGTAGGTCAGGTTTACGGTTTGCTAAGTAACAGTCAGGAACTTAACTGCAAAATGTAAACCCTAAATCAGATTATACTTTGGGTACACAGGACTTGAAAACATTGTGTTTTAGTCTCAACCTTCAGAGTAAGAGTATTTTTATCAGGAACACAACCGACTCAGGCTAATCTTTAAAACATTACAGCACAAATGTCTCTGAATAAGTAGCATATAGGTTCCTTGCCAGAAAATTTTACTTATGCAGCTAAACTGAGTAACTAAATAAGATTTTAATCTCAGAGTTGTTGGTAAAGTCCTAGGAAATCATAAATTAATGTTACTGGCATTGCTTTTTGAATCTTAACACCAAGTGGATGAGTATCCTGGACAAAAGGCACGTAGGGCAATCTATAACTGGCTATGAAGGGATTATGAGTAACCTTATCCTGTGTGGCCAATGTTTTAAAGTCTTGCATCTTTACATTTAGATAAATTCTGCAAACTACTTTAGGTATTAAGAGCTTTGCTCTTTATATAGTTCTGAAAGAATATTTGGCTGTTTTGCTTTTCCTCTTCTGCTCTATAGTCCAGATAACTCAAGATCAGGTGAATAAATTGGTCTACAGCACACTTAAAGGTGAAATGTGCACAACACAGTGATAGCTTATTTTTAACAAGTTCCATAGATACCAGGTTTTTCTTAGAACTGAAACCCATTTCTAAATTCTGTTTCTAACTGAATACAAAAACTAACACAGTGTGAAAGAAAAATCCTTCATACACTTCCTACAGCTATAAAAGTTTATATTTTGTGATTGGCAATAAATACATTGATTGGCCACACTGGAGAACATCCCCATTAAAACTGAGAACATCTATTACAGAAGTCTCTTCATTCAAAAGTAGTTTGAAAAAACTCACTTTTGGAAATACATTTTTCCTAGTAGACAGGAAAAAAACTTTTTTTCAAGTCATGTGTCAGAAGAGTTCCTGCTGTAGAAATCTTCATTTTGTCAAATTCTGCCCTCTGATCTATGCATTATTCAGCACAGATTTTCAAAGGCAAAGTTCACAGTTTCTCTAAAACAGTATCTACAAAGTCACTTCCTCTTCTACAACCAGTTTTTTATAGCATACATAATCAGAGGCACATAAAACTATATTTGTTGTCAATTCAGTATCAGTTAGAATTCAGCATAAATTTTGTGGGGAAATTAACAGGGTAACATGTAAGTATTATTTGCACTCTAACTACAAGGGCTGCTCCAAAAGTAATGTCTCCTCTTTTATTGGCCTGTTATGTCACAAGCAGATGTTGATGGTATGGCAGTATAGGAGGAACCTTCCCACCAATATTCCATTACATGTTGTTGCCACGTGACAGATGGCAGCAGAGGGGCAGTCTGACAAAATGGCACCTGACATGGAAGTGCAGATGAACCAAAGGTTTGCAACTGAACTCCTTCATGTGCAAAAAGTGGCACCCACTGACATTCAATGACACTTCCTGAATGTTCAAGGAGAACAAACAGTGGATGTGAGCACAACATGGTGAGTGGTATGTTTTAGCAGTGGCTGCAACAGTGGGTCATCATGCTGTGGTGCAGTTTTATGAGCAAGCCTGCATTCACTGCTGATCAGTAGTGGTGACTGTTGAGAAACAGTATTTTGTAGCTGAGAATTTGCTCAATCAAGAAGTGTTACTGTGCTCCTTATACCATTGTTGTTTCCACAGAAAGAAGCAGGAAGCATTGCTTTCACAGCAGCCTACATAGTAGGACTCAGCTGAGCGCATTTCATTATTCTGCAGTTGTAAAGAAACTCAGAACCTAAAACTTCAAATCATTCAACTTAAGGTCCGTATCTTTCTTTATGATAACTTCACACCCTGTGAGTGGACATCTGCAAGCCATATACTCCAGTCAATGAGGAACTGTCTTAAGCACATTTTCTGTAGTTTCATATTCATAGCAAAGGGCTCAATAAAAGCCTTAAGTTTCAAGTCTCCCTCTACTCAAAGAGCAAAGGAAGGAGCTACCTCACTGAAAATATGAAAGAGCTGGAAATTAAACCAGGCTTTCACTTTTGATACAAATCTACAAAGTAGAAAAAAAAACTGGATGAGCCAAGAAATTTGTCATGAATCATATGAAACTACAAAGTTGTAAAATTTCTGAAAAGCATACAAAAGATTTGTGTTTCTATTACATCAACATTAGCAGTTACCAAAATCTATATATCCTTGCACCAAATATCTAGATTTTGACAGATTTTCTACAAAAGTGGATGTATGAAGATATTTATTTTTTTTTAACCAGTTCCACACTTATTAAAAAACTGTACATCTGAATATTGAGTGCTACTGACTTAGTATTTAAACCCATCTACCCATGGTTCAAAAAGATATTCACATTTGCCATACAGGTTAAAAAATGTCAATCTCCACTGAACTTAGAGGTAAGACTTCAGATACATTTCTTATACACCAGATGCAAAAACAGCATAAATAGGCTTCCAAGATATCCCCAACCCAAGGAATGAAAAGCACCTCAGTTTTTCTCCAATTTCTCTTACAACCAAAAAAAAGCCAACTTCCAAATTAATGCAGCATTACGATGTGCTGTCCTTCTCCAGGAGTTCTCTCTCTGGATCCAGAATTGCTTCAGCAGAAGACACTAGGGTTCTTTCATTCTTCGAACAGAACAGTGCACAGTGCATCCTCCGTATCAATCAGTATTGAAGCTATTGCGCCATCATTGAACTCAAATGATGTTCCTCCATCTATAACCATACATGCATCCCAACAACGAGAACGGACACAGACTCTGCCAACAAAAAAATAGAACAGTTTAGAAGTGAGATGGTTCACAGAAGCACTTACCTGAACAAAGAGACTGTCTCTTGAATGTTTCTTTGCATGGACCAGTAATGCTGAATCATACAGGAGCATACGTAACAATATCACAGCAGAGAGAATTAGAAGACCTATTCAAAGGAAGGCTGTTACTCCAAAAGTCTGAGGACTCTTATAATGCTACACCTGAAAATGAAACTGGAGTTCAGTGCATTTTTAAACAAAGCTACTGATGATCCCATTTAATAAAGGTTTGCCTAATCTTTCACAGAAAAGAAGTCTTACATAATTAGCATGATTTCAGTATATTGGCTTTGAAGTTAAATGGAACATGCATTTACAACTAGCAGTATCTCAAATACTTTGGATATTACTGTATTCTGTTGTGCTGTATGAATCGTTGACAGAAAAGATAAAGTCATTTCAAACACAAGGCTGAAGGTCAGAATGCTTGCCACACAACTTCAGTAGTTATGGCAGCAATTTCCTTTTAATAATAAGAGTGTGACCAGTATGTTGTCTGGTTAACAGAAAAATTTTAAGGCAGCTCTTCTACAGCTGGTCCAGACAGAATAAAGCTACTAACCATCTTCTTCACTTATAAGTGAAATTAACATCTGTCAAGATTTCTTCTTTCAAATATACAGCAAATTAGAATGCTCTTTAATATTGTTCTCAGCAATTATTATTATTTATCTTAATATTGCTAGATGGGATCCAGGAGTGATTTCAGAAAAGCTGCAAGACTGCAGTCTTACACAGATGTGCCTGACTGTTCCACAAACAGGCCTTGGTCTAAACATGTTCTGATCTCCAAGATTTAATTGGCAATTACTCCAGTGACTTAAATCTTCATGAAGATCATCTTTCACAAAGATAAAAAAACTTGGAAGGATGGCCCAAATGTCAAGCCAGTCTCTGCCAAGTCTGAAGCCTGGAGGCACATTACCGCGTTTCACTTTAGACAAAGTATCTCAAAAAAGAGAAAGAACAGCAATAGCAAGATTTTTAGCACAGAGAGCAAAAGACAAACCATGAGAGGCAGCAAAAACTAATTCAAGGAAAAAAAAAAAAAAAAAATGGACAGATACCCCTCTCAGAATTATGTAGACATTTTTTACTGCAGGAGAGTTTTTATAGTATATCCTATCCCTGTCGACAGGACAGGAATTGATCTTGTAGCACTTACAGATGAAAATTCAGTTATTTATTTCTATTTTGAACTCTTCTTGTACCATCTCTCTAGGTTTATTCAACCTGGAAACCTCCCAGATCAAAATTACTAAGAAGCAGTAAACATTTAAGACATTATAATTTTACTATGTCATAAAATGCTGCAACACAGCTGTGGCTCAAAAGGAGAATTCAAGTCTCCAAAGTCAGACTCCTTTGTTTTGACATAAAAGGTTGAATTAACATTTGGTTGATATTGACACACTGTATTGTTCTCAGCATAGTTACTCTAAACATACAATAACAGTTGCATATGTTTTTATTTACTTAACTATAGTGAGTTCCATAAAAAGTGCTCAATGTTAAAATGACTAAATTACAGAACAATTTAGTTTGGAAGAGATCTAGGCCACAGCCTTCAACTCAAAGCAGGCCTTACTTCAAAGATAGATTATGCTGCTTTCAGTCTTGCCTTTTCAAGTTTGGACTATTCCAAGAATACTACCAGCAGTCTCTCATCAACCTATTCTACTGCCAGACCATTCTCAGTGAAAAATATTTCCTTATCAGAATTCTATAACATATAGGTCACGACTGTTGCCTCGTACTCTTCTGCTCTGCAGAGTTTTTCTGCTCTATAACTTGAACTGTATTACCCCACTTAGTCTCGTCTTCTTCAGGCTCAACATGACTCCTTCCCATATGTGCCATGTGTTTTAGCCCCATAATACTCTTAGAGACCCATTCCTGAACTCACTCCAGTTTGTCAATGCCTGTCTCATAGTGAGGGCAATGGCATGTGCGCAGAACTGAGCACAGTGTGATTCTTTTATTCTGTAGGACTGTGTGTGGCTCAGATGTTATGAAAGCATAATGCAGCTTGGAAACCTCTTCCTGTTCTTACCAGAACTATACTCAAGCCACTGAAAACACAAACTGGCAGTTGAAACACTTTAAGGAAAACTCCTGTGTTACCTACATACAGAAAATACAGAATGTAGAGATCTTCAGTAGCTGCTACGGTCAACACTTACTTTGAAGAGAAGCCACGCTGCCGACTGCTAGAGAAAACTCTGTTTACAATAGGTTCTCGGATGCTGAAAAACATCTTTGGTTCTTCTGGACTATAAAGCAGGGATTCATTGTAATCATTTGTTACTGTAAATAGAAATCAGCCATTAGTTTTTGTAGATAGAATTTTTCAGAAAAACACATTTGTCCAGGAAAGAACAGCTTCCCTATTTGGAGATATAATATTGAGACTTGCCAGGTGTTTAACAGCCTTCACCTTTCAGGTGATTCTACAAGACCTAAGTTCTATTCCATGACTTACATTCACTAATTTCTTCAACTGAGTAAGTATTTAATGTTTCAAATCTTAGGACAACTGAAATTCTCATGAAGATCTACACATTCTAAAGTCTAAATTACTGCTTTCATTTCAAGTCAGAGGTTTTTCCATCAAATTCGTGTAAATAATATTTCTGAAAAAGATTAAAGAGGAAAAACTTCTTTACCTTGATGGTAATAGAGCACAGGATCAAGCAGACAGGTTGTGCAGTCCCAGTCCCCTTCTCTGGAACAACACAGCTGCATGCTTTCCTATGCAATCTGCTCTACAGAACCTGCACTAGCATGGGAGTTGAACTATGCAATCTGCAGACCTCCCTTCTAACAGCTACAATTCTCTGATTCAGTAACATTGCAAGAGCACTAAAACAGCTGAAGTGGTGCTGAGAATATAAAAATAAACTCGTCAACATTTATGATATCTTAATAAATCTTGCCTTTTTCACTAACCTTTTTGTACTAGTTCTGTGTTCAGTGGCATATTCAAACTTCCATGCTTTTTAGCTGTTGGAACAAGATTAAGAAGAGCACCTATTAGAGAAGAGTATCTTTGTGTGAACTGAGCCAGGTGATGCCAGGCTGTTCACTCACCGATATTAAGAATCTCTTCAACAGCTTGATTTGCTACCTTGTTAATATTATAGGACCTAAACAGAAAAGTAAAAGTCTTGTTTGGTAAGCAATAAAATTAAAGGGAACAAACAAAATCCCCAAGTATCTTGCATACAGATTAAAAGTAGGTTTCAGACAATGGAAAAATTAAGAATGCTGTTAAGCATAGGCGGACAGCAGTTTTCCTCCTGGGACCAGATTCAAAAACTGACTGCTGCCTCTGTGCACAGGTACTATGAACATGGCAGTTGCCTAGTTCTCAGTGGAGCTTACAATTCTCAGTCCAGGTCTTTTGTTATGGCTGTAAAACACCTTAAAATGCAACAGACATCCACATAACACACTACAGAAATGCCATGGGTGTTTTTCCAACAGTATTCCTCTCACTGACTTCCAATCTACAAACCTGAACAAATGCTGAGAAGAAATTGAGATGGATGGTTGTTCTCCCTCCTAACTAGTTAACCTGGCAGCTAAAGAAGTTCTTGGACGTTTAAATTTAAACGCCTTGCATACTGAGGAGCTCTGAAATCTCAACAAGACCCCTAAACCAGACACCAGTTACAGCAAAGAAAACAGGAATCCTGGAATCCTCTGCTGAGATTGCTCAATAGAAAACAGGCAAATGAAATGCATAAGAACAGCTTTTGAACTATATGTTCCCAAAGTACCAAACACTAGGAAAGTTCTCCTAGCAATCTGCCAGTTTCATTCTTGGCAGCCTCCAGGACAAAGTTATGCTGACTGAATACAAGATTCTGAATTACAGTGAATATTTAAGCCCAGTAACCATGGCTACAGCATGAATATTCATTTTTCCAATTTCATTAAAAGCTTCAATTTTAGGTCACCTTAGCTTGCCAGAAAAATCCAGCTTGTACAACCTTAAATGATAAGGATAGCCCATTTCCAAATCTTTCCCACTGTACAGAAAATTAAATTGATCAGATTTGCATGTAACACTATAGATTGTTTAAACTGCTGCTAAGGAAATCTACTCTTTGATTAGTACAGCTCTCCTTGGATATATGCTTCTTCATCTAAGAAGAATATTTTGGAAAAAAAAAAAAAAAAAAAAGGTGCCTTTTCAGTTAAGTTTGAAAGAGACCTGGAAATCCAATAACGAAAAAACAGATGTGCCAGACAACACTTAAGTACAAGTCTTCCCATTGCTATTAAAGCTTCAGTCTTCATAAATGTTTTCTTGAGCTTCTTCATCTAAGCAGTTTAATTTTAACCAACGAGACTACTCCAGAGAAACCCACTGGACAGAGCAGGATCTCTCCCTCAACATTCCCAACCTCTCCTCTCTAGGGGCATACAAACTTCCGAGCAAAATTTCAGGTAAGCTTTTGTCACAATTCCTCAGCTCCTCATCCTTTCAATTCTTCTCACCATATCCATAAGGAAGAAATTCTCCTCTCAAACACCCAAAACAGCTTCATACTATGTCTAACAGTGAGACTATTTAGACATAACTGATACACATTGGTTATTCATAGCTCAACAGTCACAATATGGACAATATGCTTCAGCAAAGTCAGTCTACTTTATCTGAAACAATATTTTGTGTCAAAGCAGCACCATGTACTTACCATGCTTTTGATCCTGTTCCTGTGCATACATTGAGCCCTGAACTCTTCTGCTTTTCCCAAGGACCATCATCAACTGATATCTCATAATAGGAGGCCCTATGAAGCGAGAATTTAAAACTGGGTTTGCAGGACTTAAAGTTCTCCCTGAATAAGACAGAACACACAGCCTTATCAGGCACATAAAAATTTATAGGGGATATTTTCAAATCTGGATGACAATTTCACAGGCTTTGTTGAGTATTTCAATTTGGTGGTCACTTTTCACTCAGTTTTATAGCAGGTGTTATAATGGACAAAAGCAATTTGCAGCATGAAGTTCTAGACAGTTTTCCTTGCAACCACTTTTAATATTCAATTCCATGTGAAGACCTCTGGATCATTTGGCAGTGACTTTGCATATGAGCAGAGTTTGCTGTACTCAGAAATGAAACTGCAAATACATTACCTTTCTTGTATAATTGTTGAATTACTGCATAAATTCTTATGCTGTGACTGGGTCTCAAAATTACAACAGGGAACACTAAAAGTAAATAATAGCATGGCTTCAAGCTGAATTCATGATCACTTCAGTAATTAAAAACCCACTGTGATTCTTCACAGACAGCTTGCTTTTTTTTTTTTTTTTTTTTTTTAAAAAACTGCATTCAGCAGGTTTTTGAGTTTCTCCTCAAGACAAATTCTTCCTAAAACTCAGGTGTTCAAGTCGTGGGGCACAATCATCACTGGTATTATGATGTATCAGAGGATTCATGTAGCACGGTATTATTGATGTATTAGAGGATTCCTCATCTTAGGCCTATCACAACCAATCTCTCTCGACAAGCTTCAGAACTTCCAGTCATATTTAAGAACAGTTGTTGATGCCTAAAAGAAATAGTACGATACAGCCCTCAGATAAATAGATAACCCCTTGGAAACACATCCCTTTCACTGTGTTCACATGACTGAACTTCTTAATAAAAGAAGTTTACTGAGCTTTTAGTGACTGATGTTTTGATTTGGACAAACTAAAAATACAAAGCTTGTAATACTTTCTTGTTTTCTCAACTGACATTTTGAAGATGCACTAGTACTTTGTCTTCTTATGCAGCATTTCAGCCTTAAAAATAAAAATTTATTTGAGCCTTAAAAATTAGACCCATCTGTGTGACATCATTACTGAAAGTCTTCAAGTCCTATTAACACAAGATTTATTACTAGAGATTTGTTCCTACAGGTATTGTGTTCTTCACTGCCTCTCAAAAATACTGAACTAAGAAACAGTGTATTTATGACATTCAGATGTAGAGGGCTATTGTAAAGTGTTGGAAAGCAGCTTTGTGTTCCTCTATCGTTGTACATTAAGTAAACGTTTTAGAATCTTGATAAAATTATATTTGATTAGTAGACAGCAATATATGTATCTGTTTGAGACTAATTCCTTCTGCCAGTCTGAGGCTGCAGTCCAGATGGAAGATAAAGCACTCATGGAACATTTATACTGTTTCCAGCAGCAATCACAGTGTCCCAGGCACTGTACAAACACAAGAAGATGTTACACACTAAAGTTTAAAAAAAAATACAGAATAAAAGGATATAAAATACAAGTAAAAGTTTGGTGAAGCACTGACTGAGGATCATGTTTTAACTCCTTCCTCAAAGCCCCATTCATATTCCCCATATCCTTCTTGTTATTGTTTGACTAACAGAAATGCATTTATCTTCAGATAGGACAGTCAAGAAGGTACATCGCATAATGCAGTACCATTATGTGATACAAACTGTCTTCTTAGAACAAGGACATTTTCCTGCAATAACAAGGCTTCAGCCAAATGCAGGGCTTCTAAATACAGAGGCAGGGAAAGAAGTTATTATTAGTATTTCAGTTTGGTCATGCTAGGCTAATGAAGAGTAAACAATTCAAAGTCATCTTCTGAAATCTTCAGTTCACGGTAAAGACAGTAACTGAAAGTATATGATTAGATAATAGCTAGCTAAGAAAGTAACAGACAAGAACAGAGGAGAGAATGGCCAAACTGGAGAATAGAAAAACAGATGCTTACAGCACTGCACTTTGCACTTAATTTCTGAATACACGCTTCATAACCAGCAGCAATCCAACCTACTGGATTCTAGATTGATGCTAGAGCAGAAATTTGACAGCAAAGACATCGTAAGTGATTGCCCACTACAGAGTTATGAAAAGAAATGAAGCCATTGCAACAACAACAAAAAAAAATTACACATACCTGGATGAAAGAGATTCCCCAATGAAGACTTCATTGAGTGCTCTTACTGGTAAAAGATGTGGACCAGAAACATCAGATCCTGCAGATATTGAAAAGAATCATGTTAAATCATGGCTCCAAAGCCTAGATTTTCAAAAACAATCCATGATTCATTGGAAGACACACTTTACTGCCCATGTTTGCATTTAGATGTTGGTTCTCAATGCCCAATTTTCATTTCAAGGACTTTTTCACCAGTTTAGTCTGTACCTAGTTATTGTCCTTTAGTGGAAAGTACAAGTAGTTGAACCAAGGTCAGAAAACCAATGCCACACGTTTTCAGACACTGCTTTGCCTGAGAACCAATGGGCAACCAGACTGATTATCTCCTTTTCTAGTCACTGACAGCGACTTAATAAATATTTTAGATTAAGTTCTAAGAATTAGAAGTTACATCAAAGGTAGTTTAAAGGAATTAATGAGTATTTCATAATGAACAGGATTTCTCAGTGAAGAAATACAGGACTGGATAAATGAGGCTCTTGAATTCTCAGTCCAGCATAAAGAAAACAATGGAAGGTGTTTGATGACCAAAGAATTACCCAAGAAGACATTGTCACTTGTCTTTTTTCATCTGCTTGCACACAGAGTGACAGCTTATTTTTCAATTGTGAGGTAATCTACCTCAAATGTAGTAGAAGTGTATGCAGAGACACTTTCAGTGTGGACCTGATAAATTCATGGTAAACTGTTCCTATGGTAACCCCAAGTAATCCTAAGAGAAACCACTTAACAAACATAGAAGACGATCATACTCCCATCTAAAAAACCCAGAGCCTGAACCTTGAGCTAACAAGTATCACCACTTCCCACTTTTCAAACACAGTGACCACACTTCAAATATTTCAGTTCTTACAAATCTATGCCTCCTATTCAAAGTTATCATAGCAAAGTGATTACATTCTTGTCACAGACTTTAACCTACTTTGATCCTGGAATCTTTCATTTATATGAGCTCTGCTGTGTTGTTCTTGGCTCAGCTGCTGTTCATGTAAATCTACAGGGACAGGGTTAATACCAGTTCCTTCCAGATACAGTCGGATTCTTTGTCGCCACTGCCACCTTAGGGAAGGGAAAAGTTTTTATCAGTATCCAAAATACTCATTACAGAATTAGCTAAGATCAGAGAGTCTTGAAGATACAAGGGTTGTACCCGTTCATTCACAAAGCAGAGCATCTTACAATTAAAGGCTAAATACAAGGTCACATTACAAGTTTTATAGCTTCCATATCACTTATCTACTTATGAAGTTAATCATATCAAAATGTTAATACTTTACCCTCACCAAATTGCCAGCTAATGTTTTTTCTATGCGTAAAATAAGATGACACTGACCAAAATATATCTTCAGAAGTTACATTATGCAGAATCACGCAGAATCACAGGTGTCAGAAAGGACCTTGAGATCATTAAGCCCAACCCCCTGCTAAAGCAAATACCCTACAATAGATCACAGAGGTAGGCATCCAGACAGGTCTTAAGTATCTACCATACAAGAAGACTCCACAGCCTCTCTGGGCAGCCTGCTCCAGTGTTCCATCACCCTTCCCAAAAAGAAGTTCTTCCACAAGTTTGTATGGAACTTCCTATGTACAAGTTTCAGGCCTTTGCTCCTTGTTCTATTGCTACACACCACCGAGAAGATTCTGACCTGATGCATTTGTCTCCCATCTCCCTTTAGATACTTACAAACATTTATCAGATCCCCTCTGACTTCTTTTCCCCAGGGTGAACAGACCCAGGTTACTCAGTCTTTCCTCATATGGGAAATGCTCCAAGGCCTCAAACATTTTTTGTGGCCCTCTGCTGGACTCCTGCTAGAAGATCCCTGTCTTTTTCGACTGGGGAGCCTAGAACTGGACACAGTATTCTGGCCATGCTCATTTTAATCCACCCCAGGATCCCACCAGGCTTTGTGGCCCTAAGGGCACACTACTGGCTCATGGCCAACCTGTTGTCCACCAGGACCCCCAGGTCCTTCTCTGTAGGGCTCCTCTCTTAATTAGTACTGATGCATGTGGTTATTCCTCCCCAGGTGCAAGACCTTACACACTTGCTTTCATTAAACCTCATCAAGTTTCTTCCAGCCAATCCAAACAGAAAGACTACTTTCAATTAAGAAAGAAAAAAAATTATAGAACTGGACTATTACGTCCCTATTCTGAGATCCTGTTACACTGTTTACTGTCACAAAACAAAGATAGTCTGATATAGCTTGTTCTTTATAAATCAATTGGATTGGTTGTTACATGGAACAAGGCAAATGCTAACAGATTTCTTCAAATAAAGTGACTTCCACATAGTTCAAGGATAAGGATTAAAAAAAAAAAAAATCCTCTCTTTCCAGTCTCCAACATATATACATCACCATCCTAATAGAACTCTGAGCCATCAGAAGTTCTTTCAGGCAAGTTGATCCAGGTATCCACCTAGCACAAAATTTCCTTCCAAATGAGTGTAGGGATGTGTATGGGAACTGCTGAGTCACGGCCTGAACTTCTGATTGATCACTGAGGCGAGCCATGAGTCAGCGAGAGGAGCACAGCTGAAGGCAATTCACCTGTGCTGCCGGAAGGGGTGGAGCCTGGCTGCACCCCTCCTAGACCTATTGAAGAGCTGCCTACCAGACGGGAAGGATCTCTTCTGGAGATCACCTCTCTTGGTGTCTTCTGGTGAGCTCAGCTGAAGGGTAAGCTCTTCCACTTATTCTCTTTTTGTGATCGTTGTCTACTTTGTCTAACTCTTGATTGTATTGTGATTATAACATCTTGGTATCTATTGATTATACAGGATGCCATTCAGAGGGACCTCAACAGGCTTGAAAGGTGGGCCTGGCTGAACCTGATGAGGTTCTACACAGCAAAGTGCAAGGTTTTGCACTTGGGCCAGAGGAATGCCAGGCATCCATATAGACTGGAAGGAGCAGTTCTGGAGAGCAGCCCTGCAGAGAAGGACGTGGGGGTCCTGATGGATGAAAAACTGAACATGAGCCAGCAGTGTGCTCTTGCAGCTCAGAAAGGTATCTGGGCTCCGTCAGAAGAGGGGTGGCCAGCAGGGACAGGGAGGTGATTGTCCTGCTCTACTCTGCTCTTGTGAGGCCCTATCTGGAATACTGTGTCCAGGTCTAGGGCCCCCAGTACAAGAAAGAGAGAGAGAGGGTCCAGAGGAGAGCCACAAAGATGATCAGGGGACTGGAGCACCTTCCCTGTGAAGACAGGCTGAGGGAGCTGGGCTTGTTCAGCCTGGAGAAAAGAAGGCTGCAGGGTGACCTCTTTGCAGCTTTTCAGTACCTAAAGGGAGCCTACAAACAGGAGGGGAATCAACTCTTTGAAAGGGTAGATAACACCAGGACAAGGGGAAATGGTTTTAAGTTGAGGGAGGGAAGATTGAGGTTGGATGTCAGGGGAAGTTCTTTACAGAGAGAGTGGTGAGGTGCTGGAACAGGCTGCCCAGAGAGGCTGTGGATGCCCTGTCCCTGGAGGTGTTCAAGGCCAGGTTGGATGGGGCCTGGGGCAGCCTGGTCTTGTATTAAATGTGGAAGTTGGTGGCCCTGCCTGTGGCAGGGGGGTAGAAGATTCGTGATTCATGATCCTTGAAGTCCCTTCCAACCCTGGCCATTCTGTGATCCTGTGATTCCTTATGCTTAAATAAATCAGAGAACAACCACTCAAGTCCTTGCTTAGGAATATCAGTTTTCAAACTTAATCTGAAGCAATAATCAGAAAGATATTTTGTGTTTTGCCCTGATGAGGCTTTAGTCCTGTTAGAGCAACAACAGGAGCAAAACAATGAAAATTTCAAGATGGCATCCAATAAAATGTTACAAGTGGCTAGAGTAGCAAGGGACTTTAACAGCTTTAACAAAACTACTTACCAAGATGGAAAGTTAAAGAGCTTCTGCTTTCTAAGCCTGAGGACATTTGATTTGAAAGGTATCTTTTCATTTAGTAACAACTTCTGAAACTCCTTTAGTTAGGTATAATCAAACCTGATGGCTATATTCACCTCATTCTAGAATTTTTCATGGCACAAATGCAAGAATGCTTCAAGCTACAAATTAAGCATTCTAAAAGTACAACAAAAAATAACTGCAATATATTATAATGTGAACGACTTGCTTCTGTTTGATTGCTTGCCATCACAGAATTATTTCTGGAATGTTAACACACTACATGTCACAGTGTGGCCTGGTTCAGTCTAGTTCAGTGATAAGGGGGTGAAGGGACCCACAGACCCACACCCTGGAAAAGGAAGCAGAGGGAGGGAAGGAAAAAAAAAAAAAAAAAAAAGGTAGGGAGATGGGCCTAACAGGGAAAACAGTGGCAACAAGCTAAGAGGAAAAACAAACTTTGTTTTCTAAATATAACAGTGGAATGTGAGATAATATAATACAGTAGGATTGGAATTGAAACTAATAAATCAAATAAAGAGTTTCCAAAACTGAAGCCCTTACTCTAATGCTGTAGGCAAGACGGCTAAGGAGCAAAGAGGGCAATCCGGCAATTGACAGTGCACTGAGTGATGCTTTGATGTGGAATACCAATCAAAAATCATAAAACCAGGACACCACAGAACCATGTCTTTTGTTTTAAATAGGAGACTGTAAAAAACTGTACCCTAGTTTGTCCTTTAAAATTCAAATTGCTTCCTCCTTAGTTCAAGTGAGTTTAATTATTTTGAGAATATATAGTATTGAAAGCATCGAGCAACCTTTATGATAGAGAAAAGCTTTCCCTAAGACTACTCAAGTAACAAAATTTAAGTCACTGTACCTTAATCAGCAAAACCATCTACATCAAACTGACCACTTCCTAACCATGTAGGCTTCATCAGCTTCTATTAGCATCACCAGGCACTGTACTATGTAAAATTGTACACTGTAGAATGCTCCTAAGTGTTGAAATATATTAAGCAAACACATCCGTCATTCACTAAGTCAGAAAAGAAAATCAATTGGTGAAGGTCATACCAAATGCCTTTTTTTCCAGGAACCAGCAGCCAACTTTATCCTTTACAGTCCAGCACCACTCTGAACCACACGTTTTTCAATACAGTAAACATTTACACAGAATTAACAATTTGAACCATTACAATTTTACTAAGCATCGCTTCTTCCTTACAGATCACACATTATTAAGCATTATCCAAACAATGTACTGTAAAACACACAAACAAAACAAAACAAAAATCAGCAAATCATACCTGAACTCACCACGATAAAGCTTCTGTAGTGCTTCAGGAAATGAGTGTGTATACCTCACAGGCAAGCACAGGTGACCCTCTGATCTGGAAGCAAAAGAGAATAAAGGCACTGGAAAATGATAGTATACCAATATCTGATGCCTTTAAAAAAAAAAAAAAAAAAAAAAAAAGCTTTTTGTTACACAAAGCAAAGCTAGACTTTTTACTTTTACAAGCCCATAGTATTAAAAGTACATCAGCAACCACACCCATCTTCCACCTCCTGTAGCATACACAAGAGGTGAGGATCTTATTTCCATATTTCTCCTAACAATGGGCTGCTCAGCTAGCAATCCTGCAATAATGTATACATTCCAAGAGTTCTTGTCACTGCAGTTCTAGGCAAGGAATTTAAAGTTAAAAACTTTGCCAGTTAGGAACAATATTGAACACAAGTTGGTGATACAAGACAGGCAGGTGACAGGCCTAAGATCAAATGAACAGCACATCCAAGCCAGAAAGCTAAACACTGTTTCATGAGTGATACTTGATAACTTGAAGCAAATTATTTGAACCCTGTTACTTAGACTTGATACTGTAGAAAATATGTTAACAGATTAGAAAAATGTTTAAGAGAAACAAGGTATGGAGATTATTACAGTATTTTATCACTGCTTTCTTATCTATCTACTATTATTATATATTTAATATTATATTATTATAATATTAATTTTAATATTATTATTATATTAATATAATTAATATTATTACTATTAAATTGGTTATACCAGAAGCAAAAATCTAAATCTTAGTGAATTCTGAGTTTTTATCTGCCACCCATTTGAAGGTTATTCCCACTGAGCAGTACCAATACACTGGATCCACCTGCCCAAAGCAATCTTACTGCTAGGTGGAGTTTATAGAGGACAACTAAATGCCAGTAAGTGGTTGAGAAGGCAACATCTTCCAAGGATGCTTCCCTTTAAGTAAGTATTCAGGTACCACATTGAGTTGCTTTTGTTATCTAAGTCTCCTTTCCGTTCAGTACTCTATACCACAACCTCCAGCACCAAGCTTGTTGTCAGTAACACAAGTCACCAAACTCTAAGCACTTCTACATTTGTATGAAAGCACTGAATACAGTAATGCTTATCCAATACACTGTAGTCCTCTCAGATGAGAGGGGACAACCCTTTCTGGAAACTTTTATAACAAAACTTTTTATAATATATAATAAAAAAATTATAATAATAATAAAGTTAACTTGATACCTACAATCAAGTACAATAGACATATATGTTGCTAAATGCCATGGGCATGCCACATGCATCATGAAAATAGATGCACATTATGCCTGATATTAAATGGAGCACTGCTTCCCCAAATGTGTTTTTACCTTTCAGGATCAGTATTTACTCCAATAACTGGTTTAAATTTATCAAAGACCTTACTGGCTGCTAACAGCATTGTACCATCACCTACAGAAAAACAAGAAGATGTTAGTTTCACTTTTCCTTCTAATCCAAATAGTCTCACATGTTTTGTAGCACATATCACCCTTAACCATCTATCTGTATTTACAGCCAATCAACTAAGGGGTACACACAGACACACACACACACACACACACACACCAAAAAAAGGACCAGAAAACTACTAATATTTTATAGCAAAACACCACCAACAAAATTCAAGATAACAAATGTGACTGGAAGAAGTTAGAAAAGAGATTTATGGAGGTTTCTATATACTTATTACCTACTAAGATGAATCATTTAGAAAATAATGCTAAACAAAATCTCAGAAGCCAGAAAACAATATCAGATTTTACAGTGGTTCCTATCAAAACAACAGCTCTAGTTTCATATCAGAAGGCATAATTTAAACATCTTATTTGGCTCCACATATCCATGTTCAGAAAAAAGTCTCGCATTAAATTGAGAAGGTAAATTGAGAATAAGCCTTTAAGTGCCACTGTTTCTTCAGATGTTAATATAGTTCCCTGTCAAACAGAAGAACAATTCTAATCCAAATCAGTCTTTACAACAAGATAGGAGCTCTGAAAATCTTTGATGTGCCAACTTCTCTCATAACTATGAGGGATGTTGCCACAGTCAAGCTGGCAGAGGAAACATTAATCCCTCATTTTAGTATTAAACTTTGAAGATTTGACTGAAATCTACAGCAGTATTATTGAGGTGTTTGTGGTATAAACACATCCCATAAAACCTATTTTGAGTACTAAGAGCAAAATGGACAGGAAGAAGACAAATGCAAGGCAGTGTTCAGGTACTGCCACAAATGCTTGAACATTACGTCAGAGCTCAGCAACACACAGTAGATTTTGCAGCAATTTATAAAAGCAAAACTGAATGACCAGCTGCAATCCAATGTTAAAAGGAATCAATCAGGATAGCTGCTCTGTTGGTTCATTTAGAAAGCTCTAAGCAGTGGCAGAAGCGGCTCAGAAATTGCATACCTCTATCTATCCAAATAGATACGTCTGTCAGTCACTGGAATTAAATGTGAAAGAAAGAAAGAAAGTTTGGGAAGGGAAGGAAATGGCAGTTTGTTAGTCTCCACCTCACATTTCTCAAAAATAGAGTGAGGTAAAGGGCTACACATAATCACAGAACAGTATTTTATCCTCTTCAGTAGATAGCAATAGAAAAGTCAACAATTTACACCATTTTACAAAAGACAACACTAAAGATATCCAAAGTGGCCACGTGTTGCCTTTTATTTCCTACTGCTACATCTTTAGATACTGGAGAATTTGTTTTCAAGGTATGAATATCTCCAGATGCTTCATACTTTGCAAATTTTATTTGAAAAATGTATCTATGAAAACATAATGAAATACTTCATTTTCATAAAATCATACCTCCTGCAGATATAACAGCATCTGCCCATCGAACTGTCTCTTCATTATATTCTCGACGTTTAACAAGACGGACTTCTATCTTCTCACTCCTGAAAAGTGCAGAAAAAAGCCAGAATGTGTGCTATATCTTTTACTGTCACATCCTTCTGGAAAACTAGCATGTAGCTATGGACTAATTAAACTGTTATTTGGCTTAGAAGCATTTTATGCCCACACAAATGCTTTCTATCGTTTCCATCTGTTTTCAAGATAATCATTTCATGTGCTAGTTAACCAAACTGAACTAGTTCACATGTTTCAGGAATGACCGTCCATCCATATCATCCTGTTCTCAATATTCTTTTACTAAGACTTGTCATACAAAGCTTTCTTAACTGTTCTTTTCTGTTTATTTCGCACACCTATGTACAGTTGCAAGTTCTGAAATTCTCAGCATCCATGCATTCTTACCGTAAACTGTCTACAACATGCTCCACATTTTTTGTATGAATGCGATGCCGCTCTAATAGACCAGCGTAATTAGATCCCTTCAAGGCAAGCTGTAAGACAGAAAATGGAACAGTTAATCAAGAGCACTTACTGTAGCAACTAATGTAAACAGAAGCTACATAAAACTTACTTTATCTCATTATAAATATACATGTTTTTGTAAGTGTCCCTTTGGTTACATCTCTGTATAAATCCCAGCCAGCTTGTGCTCACCAATTAAAGTAATGACACTGCCACAGGAATCAACCTCCAGGGCTGCACACAGTCATGCAAACAAACATGGTACACTGACCTCTATGCCACTGCAGACACTTCTCTAAATTCATGCGTTTAAGATTCTGGGTAAATCTACATAAAACAGTTTTATTAATATCCTCCTCCAGCATGTGATGAAAGCACTGAAATAGTTAGCTACTGACCTAAACTTCATGCTAACCATAGGAGGACAACAGAAAAAGCAACACGAATGCTTAATTAAAACCGGTATCTCCAAAAGACTTATAGCATTAACCTTCAAACCGCATTTGAGTCAAAATGGAAGACTGCCAAATGGTAACAAAGGTAGCACTTCCCCTGCATCAAAAACAAAGCAAAACTTAAGGTAAAGCCACCTATTGCCTTCAATATTGGCCCTTGGTTCACTGACCAAATTTTTCAAAACTGTATCAGTAACAAGACAAACTGTAGTCAGCAATTGCATTCTATCACCATTCTTCTCGGAAGCAAAAAATTAAAATAATCTCAGGACACTCTTCAGACTGTGCAAACATTTGAAGTTCATATAGGTAAGACCTGAATGAGCAGGCCGGTAAGACCACTGCCTCATTATCCGATACTTTGTTTTTTTTGAATGAGCTTCCATTCCAATAATTCAGTCACTGCCTCTCTATATATATTCTCCACCTCATTATTTAGTCTGTTCATTTGCTGCTGGTATGCCAAACACACGTCTGTATGCAGATTAAGCTGAATTTGGAAGTAGAAAAGGAAAAAAAGATGCCATTAAGTGAAAGGAGTTAGTAAATACCTTGCTAATGAAAAAGATCCTGCTTGGAGCAGTAGGCTAGACTAGATCACTAGACTAGATCACCTCTTAACATTACTTCTTACGCTTCCATCTAACCTGAAGTATTCTAAGATGATATACTGTCACCATTTCCCCTTCTCACTCCGCAGAGCAGAAAAAAAATCCTCCTTGAGTTTGTGTAGAGAAATTTGTCTGTGCCAGAAGCTTTGAAAAGGCATTTCCAGCTATTCATTTCTGTGTTTTTATACAAGGCTGCACTGCCTTCCAAGAACAAGCAGTGCCAGACAGCTGAATCTAATCCCATTTTCATATAGATTCCCACACCACAGAACTTGACAGCAAAGGAGAAAGGACAGGCAAAACATGACAATCACAGCTAACTGCAGTTCAACATCCGACAAACACAATCTTTATTTGTCTGATAAAAATTGTCATGAAGAAATCCAACCATAAGCCACACACAAAGTGCTGAAAAAATTATACAAAAGAATGGAATTGGCTGTTCTCGAATTGCATCTTCATTCTGCTTAGTGGGTTTAGAATCAGTGATTGAAACCTAGTAGAAATGAAATCCTCAGCTGGTTTTACAGCTGGGATGAGGAAACCTTCTCCAATAGCAATGGCTCCTAGGCTTTGCCTGGATGGCATCATCAGCACTATAGACAGCCAGTGTGGGCAGCTGCCAGCTGTGCTTGGTCATAAGCAAAGAAACCTGAAAAAACCTTCACTGATCTTCCAGGTCATTGTGCTTGTTAGCACAACTTTGCTGGGGTGCAGGGTGTTAAGTCCCATGAATTGCCTTGTGTTTCCTCCCCTGCTACAATGCTTACACATTCCAATTGACTCTCTGCACAAGAACTCATGGTGAAGCTCTGAGGAGCAAAGAGGTCCAGATGTGGGCAGGGGGAAAATCACAATGCTGCAGACAGAGCACTAATCACTGCTGGGCTAGTTCTCACACTTATAGAATCCATCTGGAGTGGAAAGGAAAAAGAAAAATGTATGTATTTACTACCCACAGACCCCTTAGCACCAGAGGTCTGATTTGCTAAAATTTGGATTTTCAATCATACTTTCTGGAGCACTAACTGACCTTGTTTTACAACCAAAAAGAAATCGAAAGCAAATAAATGCTACACTCAAAAAATCTACAGGGTTACAAGGTCAGGGCTCCCATTCACGTCTCCTTTGGAAACGTACACTGTGAATAAAGCACAGTCACCAAATGAGTGCCTGACTAGCAGACACTTATTGCAGCATGTTTTTCAGACTGCTAATTTCACAGATTATTTACTTCCACACATGAAATACAAACTCCATCTTGCAATTTTATTTACCTTATTCATTTGCCAGATTTGCCAGCAAATGATCTTTCAGCTTAGTCCAAGAAAGCTTCTGCCTCAGAACAATGAGCAAGAAATGAATCTCTGCATGATTATTGATGTTAGGTAGCTACTCTATCTAAAATTTTCTTTCTAGACACATGGTGCCTTGCACTGGATTTGAGATGAGTATACAATCGATCACACTTCAATATGTTAGCTGTTGGTGAGCAGCGCTTACACAGTGCCAGAGAGCTTTCAGCTTCTCCCCTGCTGGTGAGGGGCTGGGTGTGCACGAGGAGCTGGAAGGGTCAGAACCAAGATAGCTGACCTGAACCAAGAGGTCACGGCATCACATTGAACAATAAATGTTTGGATAACAAAGAAGGAAGGTCAGGTATTGGAGAGATGGTCTTTGTCTTCCTGACACACCACTACATGTGCTTACCCTGCTGTCCTGGCACCTGACTGCTGATGAGGAAGAGCCAATAAATTATTCCTCACTGTGCTTTGCTTCTGCGTACAAGGCTTCTGCTTTGCGTGGTGAACTGTCTTCATCTTAACCAGAAATTCAAGCACTTTTACCTCCCTCATCCTGTTTTACATCCTGAACAAGTGGCCCTGTGCTGAGCTGTCTGATAGTGTAACACCACAACACAACCTCCTGCTTGATCATTTTGAAAGAAAGGCTGATTTTTCATAGAGCACCTTTAACAGCCATTTAGACAGGAGACAGTTGCTGGAGGCTGCCTTCCTTCTCCAGCCTTCAGCCTGACCCCATGGGGCCTGAGCTGCACAGCCACTGTCCCAGGGCCTCACAGGCCCCATGCGACAGCACTGCACTGACAGGCCAAGTGCCACACAGCTGGCAGCACCAGGATTCCTGCTGCTGTCCACACGTATTTTAGAATCCTGCTTCTGTGTACGTGAGTTACTATCCTTGCAATACAGAAGGGGGAAAAGAAAAGCTAAAGTTTTACTGATGTTTCCTAACCATGAGGATTGCAGAAAAGTAAACGTGAATGTTGTCCAGTGCAAAGCCATGAACTGATCATCTTCTACATTTTATCCTAAAGATTTTATGATATCCTATTATCATAAAGAAACCTTAAGATTAACAGTAGCTTTTCAGATGCACATAATGTACCTATTTATACTCTAAGGCTTAAGAATTTGCAACACTGACAAAGTCTTCTTAAGTTGCTACTGCAGCAGGATGGAGGCAATGCCTTAGCGACCTCCGCTCATTTTAAGACCCTTTAGGAGTCAAACTAGGAACAATCGCACAGACTTCCACAACAAACCTCCCCCCTCACACACAAGAAGCAAAAGAACAGATTACTAGTTTCCTACCTATCCAACTTCTGTAGAAAGAATCACCAAACAGATTGAGAATGCAGCAGCTGAACACACAAGCTTTAATTTTAGCTTTAAGATAAAGGTGTTATAATCACTACAGATAAAGTCTATCAACTATTTCTAAGCAAAGCACAGAGTTATTAAAAGCCTTGTATTCTCAAAAATTTTCTCTAGATTATATTAATCTCCCAAGACAGATAGCACTCTTGCTTTAAAAAGAAACAATTGATTTTGATGACACTATGGAAAATTGTCCCTTCTTTTTCCAGGCCTAGAAACAGCTCTGAATGTAGCATGCACTTCAGGCAGCATACACTTCTTAGTTCCCTTGACCAGTAAGGAACACTAACTCAAAATCTGCTTAGAGACCAAAGTCTGAGTCTAAAATTGCATGCAAATCATCTTCCTATGCTCTCATGTTAAATACTAGACAAATTGATGAGTTGCATTAAAAACAAATTCATTTTCCTCAGCAGTAAGGAAGACATGGATCTTACCCATTTCTCCTCACCTGTATGTAAAAGTCTGACAACATACTTAAGCTTTCCTATTTTCTACTATAGGAAGTTCTACTATATTTGTAGATAAAGAGGGAATGAACGGCAGCTCAGTTTCCAGACTTTAGAGAACAATGGGCAAAAGACAAGAAGACAAAGACTGAGCACTTATTTGTGGTAGAACCCACCTAGTAGGAATGTCCATTCCTTAGACTTTGGGATCATGCCACAAAAAAAAGGGTCTGCTCAAGACACAGCTCTAAATCTCTGGGGCTTCTTTAACCTTGGCTGGAACCAACAGGGGCTTCAGCTCTCTGCTTTCATACAGTAGGTGTCTGAGTCTGAGGATGACAACAGCCATCACTGTGTCAGATCATGCCCACCTTCAGCTTCTGTTAGATGAAGACCAATTACCCAGACAACAAATAGTGACCACTCACAAGTTTCAGCTGCTTTATTTATTTTACCAATGATCCCGCCTTCATGGGATTCAGCCTTTTCAAATTTCTTAAAGCCGAAGCATGTTCTCCTACTTGCTTCTGCACTACAAATGCCAAATTTATCCAAGCTGACCCTCTATGCTTTTGTTAGAGAAAAAGAAGAAGATTGTGTAGTCATCAAATTTAGAAAAAAAAAAATGAGTCCAATTTACATCTTCGTTGAAGAAGACCAGGCTCACTGAATGGATGTTTTGTTTGATTAGGCTATGGCTGAAGCTTTTGATAGCAATATGACAGGCTTCAGCAGAGTCATGCCTGCAATATGAGAGCATGAACCCATCCAGGGTCACTCAGACCAAGCAGACTGACCTAACAAGAGTCCTGAAGCCCTCTCTGAAGCAAAGC